CTGTTTATCTGTGAACATGAATTGTTAATTTAAATAAAAAAAAAAGAATACTTGCATAATAATAAAGATTGCATATTAATATACGATACAAAATGAAGCTATTTGTATATACAATATTTTATGCAATATATTTGTTCGTTGTGAAACGGTTTTAACTATTTTCTTAATCAATAATTGGTATTTAGATTTTAAAAACTAAACTACAGAATGGATTTTGATAAAATTTCTATGGGGCCTGAACCTTTACCTTTTAGAAAAAAAAATATTCTCTAATTCGGTTTGTAACTAACGAACTTATGAGAGAACAAACAAAAAATAGGAGGCCAAGTAAAAGAACTTAAAGGTAGAGGGATGGGCAGCAGCGTCCCTCTTAAAAAATCATTAAAAGCCTAACTGCAATTGCCAAGCCGTCTACCAAGCATGGCAACTACTAGCAAAACTTATAGGAAAGGCTTATGTTCAGCAGTGGACAGTTAACGGGTGAAATGATGATTGTTCCTTGTATTGTGATAAAACAAAAGCAGTAGGCATTTGTTAGCAAAATATTCGATTCTTCGCCAATATTTTCTTTATACGCTTATTTATGCATTATTCGTATTTTTATAAATGCGTTTTCGGATTTCATTGTGTTTGCCAACGGCTTACGTTGTTTTCATGGAATTTGTAAATTCGTAATTAATTCCTTGAACGTGGTAATGATAACAAATTTTTGGATACAAAGTGTATAATTACAAAACATGTCTTTGGCGAGTCTAAACCGATTTTGATAGGCAATTTTTTTCTCAATCGCCTATCAGCTACGTAGACGCGAGATATATTAATTTTGACAACTGAAGGTTTTTATTTCTTTAATTGTATCACATTTGTAAGGTCCGAAATTTCTCCTAAAAACTACAATTAAGGTATATATGTGACACCCCTAATGTTGAAAGGCGCCCGTAGACTATGGTTACCGTTTATCATTAGACAGACTGTTTACTGGTATACCTTTTGTTATTAAAAAAAAAACGAGGCATAGTGAGTTTATATTCTTTTTCGTCTCAGATTTCTTTAAAAAAATGTTTCACGGAACACTTCCTTATAATCAACTTATAATAATACTAATGATTTCAGTTTCACTTGAATAATCAATTTAAAAAGACAAGATATTGAATTGTTTTTAAATATAAGCGGCAAAATCTTTAATCCTTAAGAGGCAGATCAGTTAGCCCAATGTAACAAATTCAAAGATAAATTAGTTACGATGCTTTTCAGGCAGAACCGCGTGGAGGTCGACCTGATAGGGTATATTGATAGCAATGGGGACTAACCTCCCCATTACTGACAATCCCTTAACTCCTATTTTTTTTTGATGGGTGAAAATGGAATGGTAACCCCGCCTTCGCTAACGGATACGCTGGCGGAGCACCAGTGAAGAGTGATCAATGAGAATGAAAACAGGCCAGTTAGCCCATCATGATGAATTCATCAGGAATTAACCATAATAGTTTCCAGGGGGAGCCGCGAGGAGGTCGACCTGTTTGGGTATATTGCTAGTAATGGGATTCTCAGTCTCTATTACTAACAATCTCTTTCCCCCCTTTAACTTCTATTAATTAAGGTTAACCTACGATGGGGCTTATAAAATAAAACCCCCAAATAAAAAAGACCGGGTAGTTACCAGCCACCACTTTCCACCAGGTAAACAGTCACATTGTTTTACGATTTCAACTTGTATTAAAATTCATACAAGTCATACGAAGTTCAAACACTATCATCACTACTTACCTACACATGATCGTCTCACTATATTATTATTAAATTATATTAATTATTAATAATTAACATTATTTACATAATAGGTTTATCATAAGTGTACATAAAAGGCATTGTCCTGCAATGCAAGTCGAAAGAGGAAAGTTGATAAACTCGTCCTTATATGACTCATTAAAATGCCCATTAAACAAATTATAATAATTTACCTTCAGGTGTAATATCTTTATTCAGAACGGTTCAAAGTTATTCTGCAATCAAAGCATTTTTCGAAAATTCGCGTCATAATGCTTGTTTTTTTTTTATACAACTTAGAATGGCAAACAAGCCGACGGCCCACCTGATGGACATGAGCAGTACCATGGACAACAGAGTATACTGTTTCGCCCATGATACCCCCCATGCGTTGCCATTCCTGAGGGCTCAGGTGTTATTCCTCTGTACCCAGCAAATTCAAGCCATATCCCACCCTTCAAACCGAAACACAGTCATGCAAACACAACTGCTTTACGGTTGAAACACGAATGGAACAGAGGTACTCAAGCAAACGACTTTTGTACAAAGTCTCCCTCTGGTCTGGCTTGTTACACCAGACGTGTACATTTTTCATTATATTTCAACCCAACGTCGCAGGGAGCGATCCTACCACGATCTTTGGGATTAAATTGGTTTATTAATGGAGTTAGTCGTAAATTTAAATCGACACACAAAGTTTTTATGTCGCCAATTTTTAATCGACTTCAAATGAAAGGAAATCCTCAAGTCGGTTGTATTTCTTTTTTGTTTGTTACCTCATAACTCCGTCAGTTGTAAACCGTAATTTTTTTAGTTTGGAATTAATAAAAAAAAGTTATTTTTTTTTACGGCAAACGAGCATGCGGCTCACCTGGTGGTAAGTAACTACCGCCGCCCATGATCACCCACAACACTAAAGGCATTGCAGGTGTGCTGCCGGCCTTTTAAGAAGGAATATGCTCTTTTCTTGAAGTACTCAAATTACTAGATAACAATTTATCTATTTTTATTTAACAACTACTATTTACTTTTATTTTAAAGTCACTTTAAAATGTGTCGAGCGATAACGATTTAGAGTAAAATTGTATTTAACATCACGCATGATTAAAGAGAATATAATTCTTGAGAAATTCAAAGAAACACAATTCGACAATTGGCGTAATACGACCAGAGGAAACCGGATGTTACTATCTAAATAAGCACCCATTGAAAACAGATATAAAGACAATTCAGCCGTTTACAATTAATCAGCCAGATATGGTACACCGGCGTGGAAATTTACTTATTCGATACAAAATGTAGTCATCTTGCTAAAAAATAAATTTGTCACTCACATTTATTTCACTAGAATAAGCATTTTGTACAGATAATGCGTAGTTATTACGATGCTTTCAAATAATGATAAATAAGATTAACACAATCACAGCAAACAAAAACCGATTTCAGTTGTTGCAAAGTTATGTTATTTTGATTTAAAAACTATAGTTTAGTTTTGAAATAACTAAAAAAACAACTAATAAATTTTCTTAAATACTAATACTAAATCGATTTTGATAAAATTTCTATGAGACGAATCTGTAAGTATATCATTTCAGGTACTTAGAGTATATACATAGTCATTTTTTAAATGCAGCGAAGCAAAAGTCCAGGCTGCTTACGTCTCTTGAATATTTTTGATAGTATTTATCATTACCAGAGAGTAAATCACGTCATCCCACACAACGAAACTGCGAACATCACCAAATAAAGAACACTTCATTGTTTTACGTTTATCATAACGACATCCATCGACTAATAAATACCCTTACTTCACTGGGAATACGGTCGCGAGCATTATTTATATTTTTTTAAACGAACTTCTAATAAATGATGAGGTTCACGCTCAAATAAATTAGTACCAATTCACTGATTGTATTCTTAATTCTATTTTTTTTTTATATTGACATGACATTGGCAATATTCGCGCCTATTTATTTACTAAGACACAAAATACAGATACAATCCTCAATCTTTGGGATGCTCCGCCATAGATTAAGGATAGTAAGAACCTGCAGTCCCTGCTTTTTACTATTTTAATTTTAATAATACGTACCTATATCATAACATAGATATTCGCTACTTATCTATTCATACCTAGAGCTAGACAGAGAACTATAGGTATCAAGCTTTCGTATTGATTTTAATGCCCAACGTTTATTCAAAATAGAACTCTATTGTTCTCACAACCAAGTTTGAATTAGAAAAATAAAAGAATGACGAATGACACAAAGGCCATGATTCATCAATAAGAATTTCGTAGCAAGAGTAGACAAGGGAATTTTAAGAAACGTACTTTTTTTTGTAAAGACATGTTTTTTATATAAATATGTATGTGTGTATAATTTAGGTAATATGAGTATTACATGTATGTCATTTTTAAATTACTGTTTTAAATTAATATTGTTCATTGCGTTTTACCGTCAATTATATTTTCTGCTATTTCTGTCTACGGTTGACTGGTAGATAACGCCATATGGTGGTAATTCCACCATTTCAATATCTAGCTGTTAAAGCTTAATAAATAAATAAACAAAAATATATCTACCATCCCGCATGTTAGTATATTATATGTTCACTTTCTAAACGTTTTATTTCATAAATATTTTAAAATGAAAATATAACATCATTTAATAATTGTATTTATGTTTACAGTTGCATGAAAAGTTCATTTAAAAAATCAAACTATAAATCATCACAGCCTATCGTTTATTCAGTTAATTTTATCTTGATTTGTTAGTTATGCTTCTCTCTCATTTATTTTGTCTATGTATACATTATAATAATTACCTGATTAATAAGTATTAGGAAATTATTTATTTAAGCATATGTTTTAAACTAATGAAAAATCAAAATTTTATTATTAAGATTATTTGATTGTAATGCGATGCCATCTGTTGTCAAATAGAATCAACTTTTATTGCTATACCTACAAACATTTAATAAGAGAAGATTAATATGAATTTAATAACATTTAACCGAATTCTATTAGTTGATTGTCGGAAATGACCGCATTGAAAGTCCTCTCATTATGTTATTTCAATATCCTTGATTGATACGAAACTACAAATGAATCGACTGACTCATCTATTGTCGACTTTTCTTGGAATAGTAAAATGAAAGCCTGCTTTTTAAACAAACAATCTGTAAATTACTTAATCAATTGTTATCTATAATGTATACTTTTGTTATTACAGAAACCAAAACAGAGGAGGTCATCACACAAGCTAAAGTCGAAACAGACAAAGAAATGGACAGAATGGTCGACAGACAGGAAATCAGAACTGCTAGAACTACAAGCATTGACAGCGACAATCGATCAGATAGAAGTGAAGAGGACGATTTAAGAAAAGCGCGCAAGAGAGCAGCTTCAACTTCTCCCTGTCCTAGTTCACTAGACAAGAGAATAACCAGATATGAATGTCCTAAATGCAGACAGCGATTTGATTCCGCAAATGCTTATGATATTCATAGATTTACAGCGCATGGCGACGATACTAAGACTGGTTTCGACGATCTCACTTTAATTGATTTCTCAAGTAAAAAGTTCCCAGAAATCGCTCGCGAAATGACCGAACGTAATTCTCGAATTTCTATTAGCGAACAACGTTATAGATGTGATGTTTGCTCCATAAATTTTCCCTGCAGGCAGGCCCTTGACATTCATAAAAAATCGTGCTCTGGCTCTACCCGGATTCCTACCCCAGACCGTGATAGAAGAGAAGATTTCTTTGCCAATCTGAATCTTAGGAACCGCTCTTTTGGCATACCTGATACGTTAACACCACCTATAGATCGATTCACAGCAAAATATGATGATGGTCATCTCACAAATGGTATGAGACACATCGATGCTGCTAGAGATTTGGCAGATATACAATCTATTCTGAACGTCACATCTGCTGGAAGCCTCTTAGAAAGACTGACTGGTACTAGGGTACCATTAGAAAGTACTGTTTTGACACCCCCTGATACAGTGGTAAAAGAACGTGAACAAGAAGAAACTCAAGATAACTTCGCAGCTGAATTCCGTCGTATGAAGTTACGAGGAGAGTTTCCATGCAGATTATGTCCTGCTAAATTTCCAAACCTTAGAGCTCTGAAAGGACATAACAGAGTACACCTTAATGGCACTGGTGCTGGTCCTTATCAATGTAATATGTGTCCGCATGCTTCTTTGGACAAGGCAGCTCTAGTTCGACACATGCGTACACATAATGGTGATCGTCCTTATGAATGTGCAGTGTGTAACTACGCTTTTACAACAAAAGCAAACTGTGAAAGACATTTAAGAAATCGGCACGCCAAAGTAACAAGGGAAGATGTCAAGCGCTCTATTATATATCACCCGTCTGAAGATCCAAATAATGATGAAGTAAATTCAAAACTTAGTCGGGACGAAGTAAAGAGATCACTTGCATTTCATACTCCTGAAGTTGAAAGGCGAACCGAAAATACTGGAAGAGATACACCTCTTAGTCATTTTACACCAAACTTTATTAACGACAGACATCCAGTTCAATCTTTAACTTCTAAATCTTTATCAGACGCTTCTTTAGTTACAAGAGAAAACGAACAACCTTTACCAAGAATAAAAGTAAAAGGTATTGGACAATTAACGCAAATCCCTGAATATAGATCACCTGAACTTACAACATATAAGTCCAATGATGTCCAAACGGACGCTTATGATGAAGCTCCAGTAGATTTGAGTACTAATGACAACAATAGTTGTGATGTTCTTGATCTTAGTAAAAAGAAACGAGATGTCGATGATGAGTGTAAAACGCTAACAAGGCCATCTTTTGAACCCGATCCAGCAACTACTGTGTTAGAAAAATCAAGGCTGTTTAGTTGGGCCAATGCTCATACACAAAGACTAATAGAAAACTCGCTTCCAAAAATTGATCCTGCTTTTTATACTACACAGCTATCACAGCTGTATGCTAGTACCGTGCCAGGACTTGCTGGACTTCCTTTGGCGCCTTCCTTTTCAATCAGCCCTTATTTTCTACAACCGTCTCTATTTCCTCATCCTACTGATTCCCAAGAAGTGGTTGAAATGAAGCAGAGAATTCAAAAAGAGATTATTCGTGGCCTAAGCATGTCAGGGGGACGACTCGTAGCGAACGATCAAGACATCCAACCGAAACAGGAACCAGAAGAAGAAGAACAAAAGCCTACACAGGCTGTATCTCCTTTACCATCACCTCAATCAGAATCTCCTAGACCCTTGGCTAACAACATTGTTCCCCAATCAGAACCAGTTAAATTGGTTATTAAAAATGGTATACTCATGCCTAAACAAAAACAAAGACGCTATAGGACAGAAAGACCATTTTCATGCTCTCAGTGCTCAGCTCGTTTCACTCTCCGTTCAAACATGGAGAGACACGTAAAGCAGCAGCACCCACAACACTGGAGTGTAAGGAGACCAACTACTAGAGCTCCTCCGCCTTATCCAACGCCTGATTCACTAGCTGATCGTGTAAAATATGCTCTTCTGACACGCCAACTTGAACGTCCCTTACAACAATCTGAACGTTCACCGATACGCAGAGATTCTGACGAAGTCGCGGACAATGAAGAAGATGAGGACGACACATTAGTTATAGATGAGGAGCCAGATGTGAATAACAAACCCGATGAACATTCTGCTGCTCATCGAGCTGCTGCAGAAATTTTAATGGCTTCTCGTCAGCAAGAGCTCAATAAAGACTTCGATCTTAAAATCGCTGGAAATTTTATAAACAAAACTTCTGCCACACCTGAAAAAAATGATTCCGGGACTAATTCCATAAATGTTACCGGTCAAGATTCATTGCCAATACCTGTAGTGCCCACGCGCAGTGATGAAGAAGAAGACGAGGAAGGTCTTGTCGCTTCTACTAGTGAAGGGAATAACTCTGGAAGCGACGAAAACAAGTAAGTATTCAGATCAATACATGTAAACTTTAATCTCTTATTTTCTTTACTTTTATAAAAATACTTGTATATCTCTAGTTTAATATTAAGTTACAAAATTTTTGGAAATTATACATTATAATTTACCTATTATATATATTTGTATATATATAATATGTAAAATAACTATAATTAACTTATACATTAAGTAATATTATCAATTTCTCTTCCAGATCTGAATCAGACACCGGAAATCAGCCACCGAAAAAGAAATCAGCATACAGTTTAGCTCCTAACCGTGTGTCTTGTCCGTATTGTCACCGAAAGTTCCCGTGGTCATCTTCACTTCGACGTCACGTATTGACGCATACCGGACAGAAACCATTCAAGTGTCCACATTGCACCCTGCTTTTTACAACAAAATCCAACTGTGACCGTCATTTGCTAAGAAAGCATGGAGGATCGGCAAGAGCTGTATTAGCTGAACCGATCCCTGATACAGTCTCCCCACCTCAACATATAAATGATATAAGAACTGTACCAGAGAGGCCATTCAAATGCGCATCATGCCCTACTAGTACTTTCTCATCTTTGGAGACTTTAAAGAAGCACATGTCATCAAGACACGGCACAGGTGATTCTCAGCCGGGATCTCCAAACCCTGAAATTAATGAAGACATTCCTGATGGTGGTCTAGTCTTCAAGTGTCATCTCTGTGAGTCTTCTTTCGGAGATAGGGGAGGAGCGTTAAATCATCTAGCAACCGTGCATTCCATGGAATATGAGCAGCTAGTAAGCAAGGGAGCCTTAGATGCAGCTAGCGACAGAAGCGAGAGTGCTGATGATGATGATAGGGGCAAATTTCCAGACCACGCTAACAGAAAGGTAAGTGGTCTTAACTTCTCACAAATTAATGATTACCTATAAATTGATATCTATCAGGATTGTGAAAATAGGAAATATTTTGAATAAATGCAAACTAATCACCCTTTTTATAATATAACTATAACGACAATATTTGTTGTACGTACATATTTGATTCTTTTAACACTAAACTAAATTGTCTTTGATCCCGTTTACAACTTTCTTCCTTAATTGTTACAGGTAGTTTGCGCTTTCTGTGTCCGTCGCTTTTGGTCCGCGGAAGATCTCCGTCGTCACATGCGTACTCACTCCGGGGAACGGCCATTTGCCTGTGATCTGTGCCATCGGAAATTCACTCTAAAACATAGTATGTTACGCCACAGAAAAAAACACCGGGACGAAATCACTGACGACGAAGAAGTCTCGCCGCCAAATACCCCAATTGAAACTGATAATTTGACAAATGGGTATGTATATTGATTTTTGTTCATGGTTTAAGTTTACTATTCCTCTGTAATAAACAAAATCATCAAACTTTCAAAAACAATTCTATTCGTTAATTCAATTATTAATTTATAAATTGTTAATATCTATATAAATTTATGAGTGTAAAATAAGAAAAAAACATTTTGTTTCAGATATAGATATCGGGATGACGAGGGTTCCGGTTGCGAGATCCCAAGCAACGTTAACAACAATAATTCCCCACCAGCGGCGCCCTACGACAAAAAACTCAAATTAGACATGACCTCACGCAAATATTCATCAGATGCTGAAAACGACGGCGAAAATGGCAGCGATCTCATAGGCAAACTGTTGGGTATCCCTGACAAAACGATTATCAATAAGCTACTCTCTTCCGCAGACGAGGCGGCGAAGTTCTTAGGAGTGAATAAATGAGAGTACGCTTTAGTCCTTGTGACGCCAGCTAGACTCGTCCTAGCTCCACGAGGACTAAAAATGCCATTGCAAATTCAGACATCACCTGCTAATAAAACTCGTACAACGCCCTCTATCAACGAGTAGGCATTTAATTGTAGTTATCATGTATTATTTCAGAATAATGTAAATAAATTATATATATTGCTATTAAAATTTATTATTAAAATTATACTACTACTATAACTAGGTGCCTTTAGCTGCCTTAATTTTACGAAAATATGAACCGTCCTATTCTGCCTTAATGTACTATGCTTAATAAAATTGGGATTCGAGCAACGAACATTTCTGTAGTGCCAGATAGAAAAGTACATTTTATTGTTTACTTTTTAGGAAATAAGTAACATTTATTATCTCATATCAATCTTAATTAGGTTAAGGTATTTTAATAAGCTAGTTTACTGAAGAGCACCAACCAAAAATCTATATCAGCTAATTATATCACGTAAATAATTGCATTTCCATCTAGTCGTGTCACACTAGGTATTGTTCACAGCTCTGCATTTTCAAGGCTACAATAAACTGTTTTAAATTGTCGCATTAATAATAAATAATGATCAGCCAAAAATAAATTTCGCAAATAAATCCAAAATTTTCTAGTCAATTTCTTAGACTTTTCTTACAACATATAACTTAGCTAAAATACCAAAATGTCAGTAATTAGGTTTTCTATTTAGGATTATATAAAATAAGTTTGACATAAGGACCGTTTAAGTGTAGGTTAATACCTATAATAAACCTCAATTATCCTACCAATGAATAGTTATTAAGTGCTTAAATTTGGTAAACATAAGTAGGTATCAATAACATTTGTTCATAAGTCTGTAATAACTAATTCTATATTCTATGCTTTCACTATTTTAGTGTTTCAATAAGACCAAAAAGTAGAACAATTCATTTACACCACCTAATATTTCTATCCTTTCTTCAATTTCTTTTTAGTACGTACCTATTTATTGTTTGCCTTTTTTATCTTAATATTAGTACTTATTGAAGTGACATTTTATTTGCTCAAATTCATGGCATTTCTTTTATTGAAGACTAGAAATTAAATGTTAAATAATGTAAGCAAAATGGCTAGGATCTCTTTATACTCTTAAATACAATTTACGAGATATATGTATAAATTTAGTGTGTTATAGTTTCGGTGGTCTTTTTTTACCGATTTTTGGTAATCATTGTAAGAAAATTAAATTTATGTTTTGTTAAGTACCGAAAATTTTATTCAAAGATGTATAATTATTTTCTATTTTTTCTTTTTTTTTTTTTTGTATAACTAAATATTGGTGCGGTTACGTTACGTTTGTAAGGGTTTAAAAAACCTTAATTATTAGAATTTAATTAATTATAATAAAAAAACAGTCTCATTAAGTGAGACGTTGAATCATACGCTAGAATATACCTAAGTCCGACGTTTGCTTTGTATATGAAATTGCTATATTAGATACAGATTAATTATTTAAATACATATTACATAGATTAAAATTATAGATACATTATATAAATTTCATCCTTAATGTTAGAACAGTCTACGTAATATAATAAAATAAATATATTACTTGTGGTGGTATTCGTGCAAATAAACCTTTATCTGAGAGACATGATCATGTCATAAATAATTGTTAAGATTCGAGTAGTGTAATTTAAAATAAATCATTTACTGATCATCATCTTTATCAATCAATTAATGTGTGCAATTATGGCTGGAGTGAAACTATTGCAAATACTTTAAATTGTTTAGAGAGAGCATTACTAGAGGAAGACTTTGTACAAAAGTCGTTTGCTTGGGTACCTCTATCCCATTCGTGTTTCTACCGAGAAGCAGTTGTGTTTGCATGGCTGTGTTTCGGTTTGAAGGTTGGGATATGGTAGTGAATTTACAGGGTACAGTGGACTAACACCTGAGTCCTCAGGAATAGCAACGCATGGGGAGTATCATGGGCGAAACAGTATACTCTGTTATGTCCATGACACTGCTCATGTCTATAGGCGACAGTCATCAGTTTCCATCAAGTAGGCCGTTAACTTGTTTGCCATTCTAAATAATAAATTCAATAAAAAATTAATAATAATTGCAATGAATTATTATTAAAACAAAATTAATAATAATTCATTGCAATACTAAATAATAAATAGAATTAATTGTAAAAGTACTTACCTATATAGTATCCAAAGGTTTTTATAAAATCATTAGATATTATTAATTAATTACATTAATATATAGCAAAGTAAATTTAAATATTATATTTACTGCTTTAAAAAAAGAAACCTGCTTGATGTCAATTATACTTAAAAACAACGATTTTGATATTAAATCATTTTAACACTGTACCTCTATGTTAGATTTACGATTTTTATTATTCATAGCAAAAAAATAGTGTTAGTACTTATTTAATTGTCGTGAATGTGTTACATATTAGTATTTAAATATGTACTTAGTCTCTTTTTTATTTGTAATTATTGTTTAGATTATAAAATATTTAATGATAAGCTATTAATGTAAGAATATTGTGGCAACACCGCTTGGCCTTTCAATGTAGTATTTGTGTGTTTAAAATTCGCTCTAATTTTTAAGATAATATTATTAAATAAATTGTACCATAATTGTATGCATGATTTAATAGTACCTAATTATTATACTTATTATAGTGAAATGTTTACTATTCACCTATTCGCCTCTCTTATACTTCTTTGCAATACGAGTGTCGTTTTAAAAACGTTTTTTTGTGAAATACATAATGGTGTATTATTAATTAATTAACACGTTTTATTTCATCCTCAAACACCATACAAGCAACCCTTGAGTAGTTACCTGTATTATATGAATAAAGACGATATTTATTCTTATATACAATTTATGTCTGTACAGTTCCTACATTTAATAAAATGCAATTTCACATGACAGAGTATATATTTAAATCTAAGACAGTAAAAAATGTCAGAGGTTAATATGTTTTTTAAAAAGAGTATACGATGAGGTTGTAACATTACTCCCCAATGAATATGATTTATATACAATGTTTGTCTGTCTCTACAATGTTTCTTAATCATAAAGTAGTCGTCTCGGAGGGCGTCTGGTACGTACACTACGACGCAATGGTACGGCTGTTTCCTCGGCCGTAGAATATGCCTCTTTAGTAAGTGGTATTGATGTCAATTGTTGCCATTCTTGTGGTAGCTCACAGGGTGATGTTTGTAACGGTGTAATTGGAGCATTTGCTTGAGTTTGCTCTGGAGAAGGTTCCTGAATTTCTGATGTTGGGGCCTGTAATGGAGTCATACTCGCTTGTGAGTCTTGAGATGGTTCTTTAACCATTCCTCCTATTTTGGTACTTTCAGCTTCATCAATTGCTCGAGAACGTATATGATCTGCATGTCTTCGTTTTTCCACACCATCAGGTGTTTGAACTAGGTACGAATAACGGTGAGTACGTAATGTTACAGTAGCAGGATGCCAAGTTGATTCATTTCGCGTGCGTATATAAACTGGGTCACCACTCTTAAATTCTTTTAAAGGCTGATCTCCATGTAAGTTAGTTTGAAGTTGTTTGAAATTTAGTGTTTTTCTTAAATCTGGGCGTAGATTGTCAAATACACAATTTAGTTGATGGCCAAACATTATTTGTGCTGGAGATTTACCTGTTGTAGAATGTGGTGTATTACGATAACTGAACAGGAAATTTCTTAAGCGTTGTTTCAAGTTAGCTCCGTCTTCGTTACTGGCTGATAACCGGGTCTTGAAAGTGCGAACAAGGCGTTCTGCTAATCCGTTGGAGCGAGGATGGTACGGTGATACCCGAATATGTAAGATTCCATACTGCTTGCAATAATTTTCAAACTCATGCGACGTAAATTGTGGACCATTATCAGATACAATAATCTTGGGTAGACCGAAAGTAGTAAATATTCCATCCAGTTTAGCACATAGTTTTACTGTAGTAGTTTTAGTCATTGGTCGTACTTCAATCCATTTTGATAAAGCATCAACAACTACTACCCAATACTTTCCTTCGAAAGGACCTGCGAAATCAATATGAATTCTTTCCCAATTTTTTTCTGGGATAGACCAAGAGTAAATAGGGAGTTCTGGATCATTCGGCCTGTTTTCTTGACATTTATGGCAAAGTTTAATATATCTATCTATATCTTCGTCTATGGAGGGCCACCAGACATAAAATCTAGCCAGAGCTCGCATAGCAGATGTGCCTGGATGGCCGCGGTGGAGGTAGTGTAATACAGCTTTTTGTATCCCTTGTGGAATTACAATTCTTCCGCCCCACATTATAATTTTATTCTCGATGGCAAGTTCTTCACGTTTTCGATAGTAAGGTTTTAGGTGACTATTACATTGATTCTTCCAGCCAAGTTTAATATGATTGGATACTTCCCTTAGGACGGGATCTTTTCCTGTTTCTTCTTTAATCAGTTTCTCTGAAAGTGTTAAATCAATCATTTTTATCGCTTGCAATCGCGTGCCTATTTTATGTACAGTCAGTTCACCTTCAGACGGTATTTGGTCAGGGTTTGGCATTCTTGACAAAAAGTCTGCAAGAATATTGTGTTCTCCCTTTCGATACTCAATGTGATAATTATAACACCCAATTGCTAACGCCCATCTCACCAATCTGTTATTAACAAGTTTAGGCAGATTTCTTTGTGGGCCTAAAAGGTAGATTAAAGGTTTGTGATCAGTAATTAATGTAAAACGGACTCCTCTTAAGAACTGATCAAATTTTTTGATACCAAAGTAGATAGCTAATGCTTCTCGGTCTATTACAGAGTATTTACTTTCTGCAGGTTTTAATTTCCTAGAAGCATATGCGACCGGTTGTTCAATATTGTGTTCTTTGTGGAAAAGAACAGCCCCAAGTCCTTTTTCGGAAGCATCACATGCTAGATAAAGCATTCGTTTATCATCATAAGCTATCAGAGGTCTTGTTTTTGTTATGCAGGTTTTTACCTTTTCAAATGCGGTTTGTAATTCTTTCGTCCATTTCCATTTTTTTCGTGAAGATGTTAAGTCGTGCAAGTCTGAACAAAGTGTATGTAAGTGCGGAATGAATCGCTCGTAAAAGTTGACCATTCCTAAAAAAGATCGTAGTTCTTTAGTATTGTTTGGCGCTGGAGCTTTAGCGATTGCATCAATTTTTGTTTTAGTTGGGCGTACACCACGTGCGTCAATTATGTGTCCAAGATATTCAATTTCGGGTTGGAGAAAACTACATTTTTTTAAGTTAACTTTGAGGCCAGCTTCTAGCAATCTCTTGAGTACTGACGTCAGAGTACTTAGGTGTTCGCTGTCATTTTTTCCTGTTACTGCAATATCATCGAAGTAGACGGCCGTATTCGGGATGTTGTCTAGTAGTTTTTCTAAATAATGTTGAAAAATTGATGGTGCTGTTGCAATACCGAAGGGCATTCGATTGTATTGGAAATATCCTTTATGTGTTGTTATTGTAAGATACTTTTTTGATTCAGGGGCAATTTCAAATTGAAGATATGCATCCTTTAAGTCAATTTTGGAAAATTTTTCACCATTTGCAAGCTGTTGTCTTAATTGGTCAAAAAGTGGTACTGGATGTAGGTGTGTTATTAATGCAGAGTTGATTGTGACGCGATAATCACCGCAAATACGAATTTGACCATTAGGTTTTACGACATTAACTGTTGGAGTTGACCATTCTACGGGTGTTATGTTAGGATCCACTTTTGTGATAATCCCTTCTTGCACTAATCGATCTAGTTCCAGTTCAATGTTCTTTTTGATACTGAATTTTACAGGACGTGGTGGAAAATGTTTTGCTTCTGTTCCCGGTTTAATGTGAATGTTGACCTGATAGTTTTTTACTTTACCAAGTTTGTTGTTGAAAAGTGTTGCGTAATTTGTTAGGATGTTTTGTAGTGTCTGTTGTTCATTAATTGCTTTAATAGAATATACAGCTTCCGGAAATTCCATTCCAAACATTTCACTCCAGTCTAATCCAAACAGCATAGGGTCTGAAGTCTTCATGACAATGACAGGAAGAATTTTTTGTTTTCCCTGTATTTCCACTGATACTTCTGTTAGTCCTCTTGGTTTAAGTTTAAAATCATTATTTCCATATGCTTTCAGAGGTGGTGAACGTTTTAATTGTGGTGATCCAATTTGTTTCCAAAATTTTGTATTTATAATAGAGAACTTCGAACCTGTATCCCAATCCATTGTACAGGGTATGCCATTGATAATGGGGTCTATTCTCTTGCAGTCTTTGTTCTTGTTAAGGTGATATACTCCTTGTTCACTACATTCGTCGTCTGTAGTAGTTGACGATGATGATGATGATGATTCATTCGCGTCTTGGTAGCGAGATGAAGTGGTGTTTTGAGTCCTTTTAATGCTTTGTGTGTGCGGCCTGCTGTCAATAAAAGCGCGTCCTGTTTTAATGCAACATGATTCGAAATGGCCGATTGTGTCACATGCTTTGCAATTATGATTTATAGCTTTGCATTCATCATTACTATGCTTCTGTTTATTTCCACATCTGAAACAGTGGTCTTTTTTGAGTTTTCTGTTTATAACTTTATTGTTTTTATTGTTTGTACGTTTATGTTTATTGTCTCTTATTCTTCTAACAATGTTATCAGATTCTGCTATCTCTCTGGATTGAGCGAAAGTAAATAGTTGTTGGAATGTGACTTCTATTAATTTTCCAGTCTCATCTTTCTCAAGCAGGTCAGGCCATCTTTGTTTTAGGTCTATCTCTAACGCTGCATGATTAAGGCCTGTTGCAAATCTATCTCGTAATTGTCTCTCTAGCAAATTGTCATATTTGCAATCCTTACTCAGTTCCTTTAGCCTGTTTGCATAATTTGTCATTGACTCGTTTTGTTGACGTGTTGCATTCCAAAAATCAGTGAGGGCTTTATACCTTGTTTTTCTAGTACCATAAAGGTCAATTAATTTAATTTTAATGTCGTTATATGTCGATGTTTCAAAATGCGGTGTGAACGCTACCTTAACTTCATGGAATATTTCAGGGCTAAGGCATGTGAAAAGTAATTGTCTCTTCACATTGTCAGTGTCTCCACCCCATATGTTACATTTGACTTCAAAGTAGTCTATGAAATTATGTATATCCGTTGTTGCGGGATTGAATTGATCGCATTTAAAATTTTTTAAGACTGTGTTTGACGATGTTGTCAATATGCTCGAGTCTGTTGCACTCGTAGTAGGGGTCTGTGACGTTCCACTTACTTGTATTACTGTTTGTGTAAGTAATTCCAGTATTTTAGTTATTTGTGTTTGTTGGTTTTGTTGTACCTTAAGGAATTCTTCCATTAATTCCGGATTCATTTTAAAATCCTCGTCGCCAATTTAATAAAATGCAATTTCACATGACAGAGTATATATTTAAATCTAAGACAGTAAAAAATGTCAGAGGTTAATATGTTTTTTAAAAAGAGTATACGATGAGGTTGTAACACTACATAGTATCTAGAAGTTTTCTGAATGGAGAATAATGGAATGGTAACCCGCCTGCGCTATCGGTATACACTGGCGGGCCATCAGTGAAGGATGATAGGTGAGGAAACAGATCAATTGGCCCATCATAACAAATTTAACAATAGATCAATCACAATTGTTTCCAGAGGGAACCACGAGGTTGGAGGAAGTCGACATGATAGGGTATTTTTTTATACAACTTATAATGGCAAACAAGCTGACGGCCCACCTGATGGAAAGTGGTAATCGTTGCCTATAGACATGAGCAGTACCATGGACATAACAGAGTATACTGTTTCGCCCATGATACCCCCCATGCGTTGCCATTCCTGAGGACTCAGGTGTTATTCCTCTGTACCCAGTAAATTACCGCCATATCCCACCCTTCAAACCGAAACACAGTCATGCAAACACAACGGCTTTAGGCCGGAGCACCTAAATACCAGCTTGAACCTTTCGACTCGTAACGACGAGCTATGAGAATTGTCGATGATCCCAGGCTCGCAGGCAATACAATGGATTGTGCTTAGAGAAATTGTTCAATATGATGCCCACAGCCACTTTCTACCATCGTACGGCTCGCCATCGACAAGGAGTTCATCCTCATTTCCTACAGCCTCAATGGTCGCGTACTGCGCGGTTTCAGAGATGTTTCCTCCCACGAACACTCAGGTTGTGGAATGAGCTCCCTGCCGAGGTTTTTCCAAGAGACTACAGCATGGGGTTCTTCAAAAGGGGGGTAAAGAGGTTTCTTCAGGGTCGGCAACGCACGCGTAATACCTCTGGTATTGCAGGTGTTCATAGGCTATGGTAACCACTTACCATCAGGTGGGCCGTATGCTTGTTTGCCACCTCAGTGGTATAAAAAAAATCTGCTTTACAGTTGATACACGAATGGAACTGAGGTATTGGGTACCTCAGTTCCATTCGTGTATGCAATCGACTTTTGTACAAAGTCTTCCTATATTGGTGTTGCGAAGCTCTATTTTCAAACAATTTCATTTTCCCCTCGATATCTGATGGTAAAACGGCTTAGGTGCACTTGTGAAGAGACGGGTGGACAAGTAGAACTTTTAACTATTAGCATTATCATATTTGAAATACCCATAAGTAACTTTTTAAATAGCCACGAGTTTCTTGGAAAACAGTCTTAACCAATGTGTGATGAAAGATATTTTGAAATCCAACAATTTTTTTTGTATATAACTTAGAAAGACAAACAAGCTAATGGCCCAGCTGATATAAAATTATTAATTTATTTAAATACACCCTCCGATTTCACGAAAATAAAAAAGTATCCTCAAAAACATGAATAGAAAAATTAAAATAAATGTAAGTGGTATCACTTGTATTGGTGCGATGTATATCGCATCTTGATTTTAATATACCAGGAATTAGCCTGTACTATCGGTTATCCTCATTCTATCGATATAAGCCGATAGGACGCCAATGAGTGATGACATGTGAGGATGAAATCAGGTCATCCCATCGAAATTAATTAAGATCCCGCGTGTTGGCGAGGCTCGTGCTGAAAATCAGCGCTCAAAATGCTGAGCACAGACCTCATTTTGCAGGTATTGCGACGCACGCACACACACACACACACTCATTTTGGATGAAACTGTTATAATACGAATTGTTTTATTTATTTATTTATTTTTTATTTATATATAAATATTGTGTGTAGTTTCGTTGTTATAATTATTAATATTTTTTTAACCCCTGTGTGGATGTAATCGCATATTTCTGTAGAATAAAGTTTCTTTCTTTCTTTCATGACGAATTCATTAAGAATTAACTGCAATTATTTCCAAGGAGACCACGTGGAAGTCGACCTGACAAAGTATTTATAAGTACTTTATTACACACAAAGATTACTTTAACAAAGATAACTTTGATTAAAGATGTATAAAGGCGAGCTTAACTCTGTAAGAGTTGTCTGCCAGCAAATCATTTATTATTAGCAAAAGGGTTGTTACATCCATCTATCAGTAGGTACATATTTTCCCCCAACAGGGCTTTTTTAATGGGTGATAATGGAATGGTAACCCCACCCGCGTTATCGGTATACACCGACGAGGGACCAGTGAAGGATGATAGGTGAGGATGAAGCAGGTCAGTTAGCCCATCGTGACGAAGTCAATAAGAATTGTTTATGATGGTTTCCAGCGGGAACCACGTGGAGATCGACCTAATACGATATATTACTAGCAATAGGGCTGCCAAACTCCATTGCTAACAATCCCCCCCCCCCCACCCTCGAGCCCGACAGAGCTTGTGCTAACAATTTTTCCCATGTGAGTGATGATAGGTGAGAATTTAGCCAAATCAATTTAATCATCGTGATGACCGAAGGTTTTTCATCATTATCAGTAATGGAGGCACTAGTGCCTGTTATTAAGAATTCTTTCCCCGCCACTAGCCGACAAAATAAATTTTTACATAATCTAGCACCTACACAGATGATCATATCATTACATTTACACATAGAACACTGTTTATCGTATCCTGGTTCAATCCAGTAGCAGATTTAAACACTTACCACTAATAAGCTATAAAACCCACTCTTACAGTTTGATACCCTACTTCACAGGGGGGAAAGGGATTGTTAGTAATGGAGACTAATAATCCCATTGCTAGCAATATACCCAACCAGGTCGACCTCCTCGTGGTTTCCCCTGGAAACTATCATGGTTAATTCCTGATGAATTCATCATGATGGGCTAACTGGCCTGTTTTCATTCTCATCGATCACCCTTCACTGGTGCTCCGCCAGCGTATGTCGTTAGCGCAGGCGGGATTACCATTCCATTTTCATCCATCAAAAAAGAACCCTACTTCACAAGCATTGTAATTATATTTTTTTGTGAATGATAAATCTGCAGGTTAACAAAATTTAAATAATACAAATCAATCAATCAACAGGGACTTCTCATGCCCGCCAGATGTTGTGTGGGCGGGCGAGGTAGGGGCCTCGGGGTATACCCCTCTACCCCAACTTCAACTCCGGAGGCGACGATCTCCGGATCGCTGGGTTCTACAGCCGGAATACACTGGTGGTCTGTGTATGCCGGCGTGGTGTCTTGATAATACAAATAACAATTTCTAATCAACTAACCATAGATAGATGGCAGTATTTGTGAAAGTATCTTTTTAAGATCTTAGATCAAAATACGCTATTCAACAATAGATGGCAGCACTGAGCAAGAATTATAAATAACGTTAGTATTCTTCAATGAATAAATTATTTATTAACTGTTGAAAATCGTACACGCTGTTAAAGTATTAAATATTTTTAAATTATTATTAATGTAATTTTTTTAAATAATATTGTTTTAGTTTAATTTCTATTTTTTTTATTATCACTTGAACGCAACCTATTACACCGAAATGAAAACCAATGAACTCTTCAGAGTATACCATTTTAAAAATATTACCATTATAGTCAGGTAATTATTAATAATATGCACTTTATACAACTAATTTATAATCATGATCTTATTCATTTAATGTTCTACACAACATTTTATTATATAAATAAAAATTTCAATTTAATATCACAGCTAAACCTATATTCTAAGCATCAATATTAACTAAATTTCTAATAGATTTAAGTCAAAATAATTAAATATTTAGTTTATGACAATCCATAAAACGGTAATTATTAAAAACTATCGATTTAAAATATTACGTTAAGAGAAATTCAAAGATAGATTCAGAGGTTAGATTATATTTTTAGGGTTTTAGTATCTGTGTAAATTGTCAGTGGCTTCTGTCAGAGTTAATGATTAATATGTCATTCAATTATCAAGCGAAGAGTCTAGAGACATACTCTAGACTCCTCGACTCTCGACAACTAATAAGAATTGTATCGTATATCTGATTAAATTCGAAGTTATAAAAGTAAACTTTAATGTGTTTAATTAAGCCGAAGACAAGAGCAGCTACAATATTTAGAGAAATAACCCCTCAGAATTGATTTCAATGCCCCATGCCAGCAGTATTAGCGGTCCGTGAATCCGAATAATTTTGCTACTCGTATATTAGTAATAAATTTTATAATTCGATTTTAAAATTAGTAATATATTAATTTTTTAATTCGCTTGATTTTACTAATTAGTAATTCTATCGAATCCAGCAATAATGTAAACAAAGCCCTTTTTTGTGTTCATTACTTTAAAAAAGTATCTCATAATTCCAATTATCAAGTCCTTTCATTTAAAATTTTATTAGTATTAATAGTTGTTACTTTTTTTTTAAATATATATAATTAGCAACACTCTAAAATTCTTGACCATTAACAAAAAAAGAATATTCCAAGCAATCCGACTGGCTCGGCTTCATTCGTATCGATTCGTATATAAACAACTACAAATGATTTTTTTTAGCAATTAGCAAAAACATACCTAGCGAATGAAACTTGTAGTCGTATGAAATTACTAGTCGTATAATAAAATTTATAATCGAATTATGTAAAAATAAATCGAATGAATTGCTTAATCAATGAATTAGTAATCACATTAGTATAGTCGCGCATCGCTATGTGGTATTAAGTTGATCGTAGTTTATATCTTGGCAACACTGACATTTACTGAAGGAATTTGAAGAAATAGAAAGAAGTCGCTAATTTATGTTAGACGGCGTCTTTATTTTGAGTTTCATATTGCTTAACTTCAGACAAAAGTTGCGAAACAATACACATTGCCCTTGAATACATTTACAATTTAATTTTGGTGAGTACTAATCTTATAAAATATTAGCGGATTAGACCACATAGAGAGCTTGTTTTCTATACATTCCACACACATATCGTGACGTAGATGTAAATTACATTTTTTTATGTGATCATTTAAAACAATTAACGTTTTTTAAGCTACGAGATGTTTCAATGCATTGGAAAATTAGATTAAGCTATATTTTGTATTGTCTAAAACTGTATTCATTAGTTTTATTTAGGTAAATATTATTTGCAGGCTATAAAAACATCCAATATGGGCGATCAGCAGTTTTTCTTAAAATGGAACGATTTTCAAACGAATATGGTGACATCGTTCAGGCATTTGAGGGACGAGAAGAGTTTTACAGACGTGAGTAATGGATCTGCATAAAAACGAAATTGTATCATAACCTTAATTTTGTTTTCTTTTTATAAAGATGCTCTGCATGTATATACTCATTTAAGTTTCACTAGCAACTTGCTCTAGGCACGACTATTCCATACTGTTTTTATTACTTTTAAATTCTCAGAAACAAGCACCAACCTAAGCCTATATTCTAAACTTTTGCCATTATCTTATTTATCAATACTACACAAGAGCTTACTGGGTAAATGATCCTGGATAGCTTTTAAGTAAATAAAATTACCCTACAATTAAGTACACTGAGAAGGTTATAACTATAAAAAAATAATACTGTCAATAATAATAAAAATTAAATAAATTATGAATTAATTGAATAGATTTCTTGACCACCCATTTTGGAATAGTTATTGCAGGATAAAGAAAAAAATTATATATACATACAGTAATAATAACAATTAGTAACTAAAAGAGATCTCTTCCAGTCAACCTAACATAGTGTCATAGGGATTGAATATTGACCATCACAAAGATTTAGTTACAATGTTAAATAGTTACAGTAAGTTAATTGAATATATACATTATTTTGTGTAAAAATTGTAAATCTTATAATTTTAATTGACTGAAGTTTATTAAAATGCAGCGTCAGTGGTAAATGTTCTTTTACATTATTTGTATTATGTAGTTAATTGATAATCTGATTATTATTTGTGTTATTATTAATTTAGTTAATAATTAAACATTTCCAAGTATTTTGAACAACTTTTGCTAAATATGTAGAAGTGTAAATTGGTCCAAACATTAGTATCTACAGTACAGTAGCTACAACTATAATAAAATTGCTATTTTTTTAATATATTAAAATGAATACAAAATTAATTTTTTTGGCAGTGATATCAGGGATTAAAGACTTTTAAAATGTGCTACTAAACAATAGTGATTATGGGTTGAAGTGCCAATTTAAAAATTTTTTACAATTTAAACATTTCATCAAAAATTGAATTTGAATGGTGATTTTACATTACATCAAGTTTACAAAAAACATTCTTAAAAATGTGAAGATACATTTTATGAATTACTAATTGACTTGGCATGAGATTTTTATATTATATTTTATATATATATATTCATAACAGTGATGATGAGTTATTGTCGGCTAAAAGAGTGTGATTGAACTCACAATAATATCATCATAGTCAGAAGAGCCTAGAACTTACTATTGTCTTACACTAGCAATCATTTGGCATCTACTCATATGGAGAATTACCTGCATAGAGAAAAAGTATTTATAGCTTATTCTATAATATTAGATACCTTTTTAAACAGTATAAAGGATTATTCTGGGGTATTAACCGTTAGGGTTAATAGAATACCCCGTATTTGATGATTACTTCCATTGTAGTGAATGTAATATTCAACATATCCATGTCTCGTCGAACATATGATATCCTATAAATTCATATAATAAATCCTTTAATTGTGTTTACAGGTAACACTGGCATGTGAAGGACAGACATGTAAGGCACACAAAATGGTGCTCTCAGCGTGTAGTCCATATTTTAAAAGCTTATTAGAGGTAAGAGATATTACTGAGCTATCTTTTATTAATCATAAAAATTTAACATAATTGGATCTATTTAAACAAAAATTGTTTTATCTATGACAGTCAAAATTATTGTTAATAGTTATAGTTTCCTATGGTGTTAATTATGCAATTCATGACTATAATAATCTATGGAATTGCAGAGCCCGAACGGGCTTTTTTTTAACTTTTAAAGAGAAATAATAACGGTATACCCTGTTACGTCCATGGTCCTACTCATGTTTTAATTATTACACTGTTTTGTCATTATTTCCAATGGGAAATTTAGCACAAAAGAATGAGACAAAATAGTTCAATATCTAAAATAGATTTATAAGCGTTTTGACGTTTTTATGAATAACTAACGAGCCGCCCCGGCTTCGCACGGGTGCAATGCTGATACTAAATAGCGCCGCCAGCTGCCTGGCCGGTACCACCCCAACCGCTGTGTCCCTGCATTTTAAATCTTATAATATTTTACAAAATATTCATTTAAATTACATGCTGTAAAGGGCCATATTGGTTGGTCAAATTTGCCAGTAGTTGCCACGCTTTCGGGCGGGTTGGCAACCGCAGTTAGATTTTTGGTGAGATACCGGAACCACACAGCACTATAGAAATCATAAAATACAATGATGCCTATGACACATGTGTTGCTATTCCTGAGGATAAAGGGTTATTGGCTCAGTATTCGATATTTCAATACCATATTTTGCCTTTCAAACTAGGAGAGCTATGCAAAGCTTAGTTGCTAGCTACAGAAACAAGTGGAATAGGTGTACTCAATTTTTGTATAGTCTCTAAATTTTTGTATAAAGTGTAAAAGAGAGAAGTGTGGACTGAAAGACGATGTAGTGACAAAAATCGCAAAAGGAATGTTGCGTTGGTTTGGTCATTTGGAGAGGATGGATGAAAGAAGAATTACGAAAGAGATTTATCGAGCAAGAATGAATGGAGATGTCGGTAGGGGCCGCCCTAGACGGACGTATGTCGACCAAATAGGCGACGTGCTGAAGAAGGGCCAAATTAATAGTACCCGTAACCGGCGAGCGTGTATGAAAAAATTGATGAATGTGGAAGAAGCGAAAGAGGTTTGTTTGAATCGAAGCATTTGGCTTTCCATTGTTTCTGCCTACCCTAATGAGAGACAGGCGTGACAGATATGTATGTATATGTATATGTAAAGTCTCCCTCGGGTAATATTCGAAACTCTTTCTATTTATAAAATCACGTTTCCAGTACTTGGCAGAGAAGAATATTTACTAATGGCGTCACCTCGAAATTCATTCACATGCATTTGAGCGATTTTCATAAATGAACTATTAATAATGTGAGAACAGGTGAATTGTGGATATTAAATATAGTACACGGATGTTGTGTTACAAATGTAACATAACGTACGTGATTGAATAACATACAAAATGTTTATTATTGAAACACGTTCTCACGCGAAACTATGACTATTTCCTTCGTTATACATCAGACATGGGTATACATCTCTTTAATTAACAACGATATTATTTAAAGAAATTTGCTAACGCCGACTTTTTTCATCGAGACAATTTAATTATATCTACTGTAAATATCTATGAGCGTTACTAAGAAGTAGTGCAAACGTCCTTCCGGGTACCGTACACGACGATAACGACCCTTTTATTCATAAAAACTAAAAGGACCTACAAACATATTTAAACTATTAAAATATTTTCTCACTGTCTTTCAAATTGAGAATTTAGTGCAATAGAAAAAAAAAAAACAAAGCACTTCAATAGCTAAAATAGGTTTATGAGAGGATTGGTGTTTTTATAAAAAAGGCGGGTAGGCACAATTTTTTACTGTATCACGCGACTTCACTCGTGTGAATCTATATATAAGGTATCTTTGTGGCTAAGTTTTTTTTATGTGTGTAAATGGTATGGTAACCCCGCCTGCGCTAACGGGATACGCTGGCGGAGCACCAGTGAAGGGTGGTAGATGAGAATGAAAACAGGCCAGTTAGCCCATCATGATGAATTTATCAGGAATTAACCATGATAGTTTCCAGGGGGAACCGCGCGGAGGTCGACCTGGTTGGGTATATTGCATACAATGGGTTTCTCAGTCTCCATTACTAACAATCCCTTTCCCCCCTTGTGACTAAGTTAGAATTATAATATATCCATTTAGCGAATTTCGTTCAAATCATTTTAGCAGTTGTTTTTTTTTTATAAACTTTCGCATTTATAATAGTAAGTAGTTAACATAGTTATACAGTACGAGAAAATGAAGTAACAATTATAATTAATTAAATAACACTAGACTACAAATATTTTAAAAGTTGCGTTATCAGTTATAGAAATAAACATGTAACCTAAGTTGTGAGCAATATCATAGAGGTGGATAATATATAGCAATATTTTAGTTACAATATCTATATATTGGTCCAATAACGAATATGTTAAATGTCTGTTATCCAATATTTAATGTTGGAATAAAGAACCCGATCGAAATTAATATAGATATCAGACAGATATGTGGACGAAAGAACTGTATACTGGTATGCAAACACGGTGTTTTAGAAATATAATATAATTATATAAAAAAATATACAAAGCAAACCAACGGAGTAAAAAAAAAAGCGAACGAAACAAAACTGAACTGACACAGACTTCAAATTACAAAACATCTTTTTAATAAAATTAAAAAAAAAAACTAAAAAAGGTGCGTCGTGCACAAAAGCATTTTTCGCCAATTATATCCAAAGAAACCCAATATATATATAATTTTTATACAACTCAGAATGGCAAACAAGCTGACGGCCCACCTGATGGAAAGTGGTAACCGTCGCCTATAGACTTGAGCAGTACCATGGACATAACAGAGTATACTGTTTCGGCCATGATACCCCCCATGCGTTACCATTCCCGAGGACTCGGGTGTTATTCCTCTGTACCCTGTAAATTCACGCCATATCCCACCCTTCAAACCGAAACACAGCCATGCAAACACAACTGCTTTACGGTAGAAACACGAATGGGACACAGGTACCTAAGCAATCGACTTTTGTACAAAGTCTCCCTCTGGAGCAGTACCAATATTATATTGATGAGGCATAATCTAGTATACTCATATCTCTTTAACTCCAGAGAGCGTTAGAGTATTAGTTTAAAGTACTAATGTTAATGATTGCATATGTAAAAATGAAATATCACATCCTCAGGAGAACCCTTCAAAGCACCCCATAATAATCCTGAAGGATGTCTCATATCTGCACCTGCAGGCGATCCTCGAGTTCATGTACGCGGGCGAAGTGAATGTGTCTCAAGAGCAGCTACCGGCCTTCCTCAAGACAGCTGCAAGGCTTAAGGTAACAGTAATATAAAGAATATCTTAGATTATATAGATAAAGTGTCTTCATACAAATGCTTTGAGAAAAGTCGGTCAACTTTTTTATACAATTTTGCGTGATAAATAGTTATCAGTCGTTCCTTTATAACTTCTATATTTTTTTTTTTTATAAATTCTGTATCTTTTTAATGCGTGAACATTCATTTATTAAATAATACGTCAAGATATATTGTATGCGTATATACAATACTGATAAAAAACCGAGTCAGTTAATTTGGCAAAAAGTTGACCCGTTTTTGAGGCTCGATGCTCCTATCTATATAATCTAAGAAGAAAATATATAATACAAGGTTTTATTCGCGACTGCTCCAGCTTAACCGGGATAAATAAATAGCCTATTTCCATTCCATATAATTATTTGGTTCGGATTGGTTAAGAAATAAACTCATTTTCACATTTATATTATTAATAAGGATTATTCACATGTCTCTAACCGAACAATTTATAATTACTCACCACCATCCAAAGGTTTCCTGGAAGAGATCGATTTTAACGATAAGGCCGCCCATTGTTTCCTCGATATGATCTCGGTTTTTTAATATTATTTCGTGCTACTATATGGTAGAAACAGAAATGACAATAGAACATTTATTCTATTGTGATCTTTGGCACGTTGTGTACACTTTATTATAAATAGCCTTAGATATATAGCACAGTTGCCGGATGGTCCCGGCATAGAACGGGCCACTCTTTCCTACTGCGTGGATGTCGTAAAAGGCGGCTAAGGGACCTTAATGCTCAAGAGATAGACAGCAGTTTCCCGCTTTAAACACCACCAAAGCCTAACTGAAGTCATCAAACCGCTTGCCAAGTGTGGCAACTACTGGCATATCTCCCAGCAAGGGGTGGCCATATGTCCAGCTGTGGACAGTTATAAGATGATGATGGTGATATTACACAGTGATCCTTGCAATTCGTGTGATTCTATGACACTTTCTTTTATGTACCAGTTAGAAATTTTGTACAAAAGTTATCAACTTGGATGATTCTATTCCCCATTCGTGTTTCTGTAGCTGTGAAGCCATGAGTGTGTTTCAGTTAGGAATGTAGGGTTTGGCAGTGAAATTACAGGGTACGAAGGCATGATCCTGAGAAACGGCAACGCATGAGATGTACCGTAGGCGTCAGAGTATATTCTGTGATATTTATTACAATAGGTGAAGAATGCCAGTTTCCATCAAGTGAGCCATCAAATTGTTTGCCATTCTTAATTACAAAGAAAACTTTTTATATTTCAGGTGAAGGGGCTCGCCGAACCTCCACCACAAATGCCGAGCATCAAACGAGAAGGCTAACCCACCGTCAGTGAGCAAGTGCCCTAAAGACTCTAGTGATGATAGAAACACCAATGTAACATACCAATAACATTCATCTCCCCCGCTTATTTTATGGACTGCAAATTTTATAAGGCTTTAGACATGCAGCTAGTGTATAAAAATATGACTGTATGACCTGTTTTACTTTGACATACCGAGATAAATAAAATAAAAAAAAAATAAGAAATCACATTTAACGGAATTCCCTCTCGAACATAGAGAATGATCTGAATTCATCAATTATCTGTCAGTATTTATGTCTATTGATGAGTAATTGATGATATATGCGGATGGCTACGCGGTATCCGGTCAAATTTTGTCACAGATTATACAATTATTACTATATAAATTTTATGACTTTATAAGTTAGATATTTAAAATCTAATCGCCGTGGTAAAGTTGAGTGTGGAATAAATTACACTAGTCATATGAATACAATAAAAAATAAGTTAAATTCTTGATACTGTGACTGGTATAAACGGAGATTTTTATTTGTATTGGTTGTTGTTCATATTAAATCGCGTACATTCATAAAATAGGCGACGGTTACCACTTTCCACCAGACCGGCCATCAGCTTGTTTGCCAGTCTATGTTGCATAAAAAACAAGTCTATTTTCGGCAAAATATTTATTTACATTATTAAGAATGAAAAATAAAAAGCTGCTTGTCTATTGCCAAAAATCATAAATAGTTATATCTATTCATATATATGTTATATTTCCCTTTAACGTTTAGAAGTAAACATTTTGCATTTTAAGTCAATATGAATTGAATCAGCTACGCTGCGTGAAAATATGTATACATAGTGTCAACATCGATATAAGAATATTAAATTAAAAAAAAATCTTTAACAGCTGCCAAGATCGATCTTAATTTAAAAAAATATATTATTACATTTCTATCGCATATCAAGTCCCTTACGGAATAGGTCCCATAGTTTAGATACCCTCAAAGTGCGGTTAGATCATAGATACTTGTTCATTCTTCATTCATAGTTTCAAAGATTTTCTAATTATCAATTCAATTTCATTCAAGGCAACCAAAGTAGCCATTAAAATATGAGATCCCAAAATAGATTTAAGTGTTACTATTGAACGCACATTGGGGTTGATTAGGAAATATTTCTCTCTAAAATTCATAGATTTTTTAGAAAATTACTTCGCAATACAGAGGGACCAATTCTAAATTGTGTGTTTATAATTAGTGAATTTTAGAGATAAATATAGTATGAATTCAGAATATTCTCCGTTTAGTCAGCAAACAAATTGTTGAAATAGTTTTGGTTACTACTCACATAAGAAAGAAGAAATGATAGGATATTGTCATCTCATTCTATTGTATGGACTTGCTAAAGATAACGCTTCTATCGATAGATTCGTTCGTTACTTGTCTGAAAAAAAAAGGGGGAGACATTATAAATAAGTGGCATAACCTTATTATATCCTTAATAAAAGAAATTTAAGAATACTGCTAGTTTTACAATTATCGCTTTGCATAGGCAAAGTGTCGAGTATTTAGTAAACATATGTTTATTTTTTCATTTCTTAATATTTTTGTCTCTTTCCGTATTAGTACATATAGTATTTAGTGAATTTTAGATAACTTTTTAGATATTTAAAAACATGCTTAATTTATTATTTATATTTACATGTTCATAGCAACCTATGATTTGCCGGAGAGATCAATTATACACACAGAGCGAAACGCTATCCACGAAATGGCCGTACAATGCTATAAGGACCTATTCCGACAATGCGATAGTATCATTTTCGAAGGTCAATAAGTAGGCGCTAATCTATTGTTTTATTCGTTAATCAAATTACAAACAATAGAGTCCAATCTGAAGCACCATTGTCTCTCAAATTAAAATTCAATTTTAATAAATCAAATCTTTGATAGTATTGTGTAAGAACTATTTTACATTTACAGTAGAATCTCGATAATCCGAATCAAATAAAAATGGGTATTCCGTATAATCGAAATTCCCGATAATCGATTTCAAAATCAAACAATAATTAAATTTTAATATGTATTTTATTATTAAATAATTATTAAGTGCGTTATTTAGACAATACGATGTAAAAATAAATTACGAGCTTTAAAAATAATGGATTAGAAAATACCTATTTACTCAATTAATACATAATAACATTTCTAAATCGGTAATTAGAGCTGTGATGAATAAGTCCGAATAATCGAATATTCGGATAATCGACATTCTATTGTAGTTGTCATACTACCATACCATATTAGTATTGCTATACTATCAAATTATGATTGCAGTTTTAGAACCAAGTTTAGGGAATGGTACTACAAAATCAACACAGCTGTACAGATTGTACAGTCTGTAGATTTACAGATAAAGATCGAATCGCATCACATGTTTGATTTTTTCATGTATTAAATACATAAATAATATTTGATACACAGCATTTTCGTTTAACACTGATGTGATAGCAATGCGTCCCTGCCTTATTTCACTCCAAACTCCATAAGTTACCTAACAACCAAAGTATATTAAAATTAGCTTATATCTTAGCTCGCTTAGGGATGCCCCAACATGCTACCACGTCAGTAGATATAGATCTATCCACCGATAGTTGCCTTACGATTATTTACTCATAATGCGATTGTATATCGATTTTTGGTGTTGATATTGTAACATTGAGAATAATAAAACCTATTTAAATCTATTCAAATGGCGACTGATAACTTAATGCAATACAATCGATTTAATAGACTAATTTACCGTTTAATCGAGTAACGTTTGTTCAGTCGATAATCGATCGATTTATCATATACAAAACGTGCAGATACGATTGAATGTTTTGAAGTAATCGATATTAGCAAATTAAATGAAAAGAAAATTGCTTTTTATATAGACTGATTGTGGTTTTATAAGTATCAAAAATTTCGTCTTTTTTTTTTAATTTTTAATACTTCATTATCCATATTAATGTAAACATTAGTTTTCACGTAAATTTTGTACCATGAATTCAAATTGAAAATGGCTAATGTATTTCTTTTTTAATATAATTTTGTAATCGAATTAGGCGACACATATTGACGAATATATACTGCAATTTGACTATGTTAATTTAATTAACGTAAAAGAGTAATAACTAAATTATTCTACATTTACACTAAATACACTAAATTATCCTATAATTTTCCATTTTAAAAACAAAATGTTGAATTTCGAATAGTAGAATAGCTAGTGGGAGCTACTCTATGTAACTCACATTACAACTGCGTGGTCTTTTATGTTTGTATAAAAATACTAGCTATTGCCCGCGGCTGTACACGCATTATGTCATGTTTCATTTTAACTAGAAATATAATATTCAAAAATCTTTTCTTAATGCTTACGTTATAAACTAAACATATGTTTCAAAATTTCAGTTTTCTAGACTTAGTAGCTTTGGTTGTGCGTTGATAGTCAGGAGAAACAGTTTTATGAGTATAAATGATTTTCCAAAACCGTCCGCCAGAGGCGCAGTTTAATTTTCAATAAAAATTATCGACGTAAACTAACACAGTTGTAACATAAATATACGTTAAACTCACGCTAGCCACTCAACAGATTCTGGCGCGCCATTTCTTTAATCTCTTAATTTGATAATTTTGCGTTATAACTGATCCCCCTATCCATGAAAACTTACACTTCCTATAAATCTATTTTAACTATTGAAGTGTTGTGTCACTTTTAAATTGAGAATTTTGCTCAAAAGAAAAGGACATGTTTTGTCCTTTTCTTCAATAGCTAAAATACGAATAAATTTTACGAGAAGTTTGACGTTTTCGATGAATAAGGCGGGTAAATTTATAATAATTTTGCCTTAAATGTATTACTAGAAATTAATTAATATTGGACCTTAAAGATTTCGCTTTGTTATCAAATTCTAATTTAAAAAAATAGGTTTAAAGAAAAGGCTCTTCAGAATTTGTTTACAATTTGTTCACAGTATATGTCAAACTGTATGTTTACTTATTGTAAACCTTTAGACGTATATTACAAGTGAAATATGCGATACATGTATTATTTATATAACCATATTTAACTATCTTTTTATAAAAATGCAATGAATGTTGCCACTGCATTTTAATATTTATATGTATTGTTATTTCTAATTTCTAAAACTAAAAATTCGATTTGATTTTCCTGTAATATGATTCTTCTCATATATATTCCAGTGTATTTTATGTTTTTAAAATAGATAATCTTCCTTTCCTTACCATCTTTTTGCCCGAATTTTGATGCCTGTATATCTTGCTCTTATATATATATTTTTTAATTTCATTTTTGGCACTTTTTTATGAAACATTAATATAAGTTTTATTCGAAATTATTAATTTTTATTGATGTGCATGAGGGTGTAGTGCAAATGTGCAGTGCTTCACCACGTATGTATGTTTTTACATATCTTTTCTCACACTAAAAAGATAATATTGTGGTTGCTATGTAATGTACAATTTAGTATACAAGTGCAATTCCTTTCGATTTTAAAACAAAATCAACTGTAAACTCCTGCGTGTCGATCTCAAATCATATCTAGCGTCATATCTACTCCAGTTTCATTTAAAACTATATTTAAGTTTGACTTGTACTTTTTAGTTCAGCACATTTTTTTTTTCTTTTGTTTTGTCGTGTCTCTAATATGCTTCATTCAGTCATGGGCCCAGTAAACTGTTTGATCGAACACATTTATGTAATTGTATAAACCTTGAATAGTCTCAAGCTATTTCACTGTATTTATGTTTTAAAAGGTTTTAGTGTGTTAATAAATTTGTCGTATTCCAGCTTGGACATAGAGTGCAAACAGCTTACAATATATAAAAATATTGCCAGGTAGAACTGGGCAAGTGACATGTATATAATGCAGATTCTAAGCATTTTTTGTCAGAATTGAACCTTTGTTAAGTCCTCCCCTCCCATCTGTATTGTTAGAAATATTGTAAAAATGTAAATCGAATATTTTTAGACGACAGAGTAAAGGTATGTGCTGAATAATCAAGCAACACTTAGTTTGTAATGATTGAAATTATGAAGATTTGTAATTTTAGATAATACAGAAAGGTAACTAAAGTAACAGTCGTTTTATTTAAATACTATCGTTTTGCCTACTACTTCGTACGTGTGGTTTCTGTAGGTAAACACTTCTAGATAATATATCCACTGACTCCCTGCAATGTATGCTGCACTGACGACCTCAACGTCACACCATCTAGTTGGGGTCGTCGTATACTGCGTTTGCCCGTACGGGTCGCTACTCAAGAACTTTTCATGCATACCATCAGATCTTCCTTTGCCCGTCGTTTTGGTACCTTTGTATTTCCAACAATGTACTATAAAATTAACAAACTGTGTCCACTCATAGGTCATAGTTCACATATTATGAAACACAAATAATTATCTTTTATCATTATGTTACGAGCCAACTGAAAAACTGGTCTGGAAAGTAATAACATACACATCTTTCACATAGATTACACAACACACATTCACACATACTCAGGAACATACCCACGTGTCCACGATACAGGTTCGCCTAGTGTGGGGCCCATTGTATCTTGTGTGTGTAACTTAGTATTTTTTGTTCAATAATAAATTTATATTTCTATAGGTATTCACAAACAAAAGTAAAACAAAGTATATATACAAAAAAAACATTTTATTTCGCAGTCGAAACAGATAGTATGTAACAATTTTATATATAGCACCTTAGAATATTTGCAGTTAAAAAAATATTGCACCTTAAGGTGACATAATGCAATTATCAATGGAATGATACGTTTACAATAAATGCCAATATTAACATTTTGCCATCACTATTTCACAAAATAATCGTAATATTAAAACAATTACTAATCTACTTTTAACAGCAGATCCTAATATCATTCAAATATTGTGAAGCGATATTAAACACAAAAAAAAACATACACAAGTACACAAACTACACCATCGATATTGTTAAATTAAAAAGTTAACAATACCTACTTGAAAATTATAAAAAATAATTATTATATTTATAAAACATTAGATATTGTTTTGATCAATCATTATAAATTTTATATGACGTTTTGGGCAGTACTACAAATTTCCTCATGCTTTCAACTTGTTTATATATTCAATTTATTTAAATTAACAATGGGTGTTTTAGTGAAATACCTACCTAATAAGTAACAGATTACAATTTTCTATATTTTTTTTTAAATAGGAATTATATATTGCCTAAAGAAAAAGTTTTCTTTTTTTAATAGTTAATATTAAATATTCGCGTTATTGACACATATTTAAAATACCTACACTATAGGGACTCAACGCAACGCAATTGCAGGTAAATAGCCCTTCCGGAACCACGACGTGATGTAATCCACGTCGAAACGTCGGCAATAAAAATTAGGTATATAGGTACTAATTACCTATAATCTTATTACGCTGAGTCCCGATAGTGTATTTAAAAAATAATTTTTATTCTCAATTAATCAATCATATAATAGTAATTCATCAAAACAATAGTTTCCAATCAACATTAATTTTAACAAATAAATATGAAAAACGACTATATTTAAGCAAATCTAAATAATATTATGAAACAAAGAGTAATTTTGTTACATTATATGAGGCCATAATTTCGGCTCTCGGCGTTAGATATTTTCTAAATGTCTACCTTATTAAAGACACAAGTGTATCGACTCATAATTTACACGTTTATTTTATTGAGTACTTTTGGTACAGTCAGCATCGAATATTACTCTGAGTTATTGTTTAAATAATTATTTATATGAACATGAAACTTTAAAAAAACTACATACTTTTGTGAATTACAAAAAAATATTTAGTCCAATTTTTGTACGATACTTGTACACAAACCTCTAAATTTTAAATTAATAACCATCCAAAGAATGTTAATCAAAAATGATTGCCACTTGTAATTTATTCTGAAATTGTTTGTACCTTTAAGGTGCTAAGAGACAATAAAATATTTTAAGATTTTGTCCCAAAAAAAAAAAAACTATTACAGTCGTAGCAAAATCAGTTATTTTGATTTAAAAACTAAACTACTGGACTGATTTCGATAACATTTCTATGGCACTAATCTGAAAGAATCTCAGATAAAAAAAAAAGAATTTCACAAATCGGTTTATAAATGACAAAGTGTGAGTAACAAATATAAAGAAAAAAACAACCGAATTAAGAGCCCTTCTTTTTTTTAAATCCATTAAAAACATAGTAGTTGTAAGAGTGTATATGTGATGAGTCATTGTGTGGATGATTAATCAATACTTATATAAAATCTAGTTTTCTTTTTATACCAAAGAGGTAATAAATAAACATACGGACTACCTGACAGTAAGCAGTTATAGCATCCTATGAGTAATATTAAATATTATTCATAAAAACTAAAAATTTCAACACCAATGTTGACTGTTTTGCCACAGTCTGTCAATAGCTAATTTTATGAGATGTTTAACGTTTTTATGAATAAGAAGGTAAATCTATTTTTTTTATACAACTTAGAATGGCATACAAGCTGACGGCCCACCTGATAGAAAGTGGTAACCGTCACCTATAGACATGAGCAGTACCATGGACATAACAGAGTATATTCTTTAGCCCATGATACCCGCCATGCGTTGCCATTCCTGAGAACACAGGTGTTATTCCTCTGTACCCAGTAAATTCACGCCATATCCCACCCTTCAAACCGAAACACAGCCATGCAAACACAACTGCTTCACGATTGAAACACGAATGGGACAGAGGTACCCAAGCAATCGACTTTTGTACAAAGTCTCCCTCTGGTAAATCTACAGTTAAGTAATGACTATCAAGATAATTAAAAAATATATGTCAAAAAAGTTATTAAAAGTTTTTTTTAGTACTTTTATATATTATAATAGACGCTGGAGTAAACTTTATATGTTTGATGTAATAATATTATATTTAATACCAATTTATATTTTATAATAAAATGAAAAAAAAAATCTGAACTAACAAAATCATGTCTAGCGTCAATCACTGATAATATAAATTTAAATTTATATTCCCCTAAGCTTCAGACAAGAAAAAATATTTGCTATAGAAACAATCATAAATAAATATTTGGTACATTTAAATTCAATATGGCAACACAATAGGAACATATTATTCTAGTAAATTATTAAAAAAAAAAACTTATATTATTACATAATTCGAAATAAATAAATGTATTAAATGGCACACATGGATTTGTTATAAACTCTTTGGTCAAAAGGAATCATGTGCTTCATTTAACAGCTAGTATAGGTACTTACAATTTAAAAGCATTCATAACGACGTAAGGGCAACTTTACAAACATCTGTCAATTTTAGAAAACAATTGACCATTTTTTAATGTTTTTGATTAATTACTTAAGAAGTACCCTGATAGTGTAGCAAATGTTAATTATGCAGTAATGTTTATTAAGCTAACACTGAACATTTGGATTTTGATTGCAAAAATGCATTTGAAAAATTATAATAAAATGGTCGATTTATTTATGCAATATTTGTTTGTTTGTAACATTTGATTGTACAATAAAGTCTTAAATTATAGTATACAGAGGTCTTAAGAATGAGTACAATGGCAGACTTATCCCATAAAAGAGATTTCTTCCAATCGACCCCTGAATGTCTGATAGTTCTAACGTTATAAGTTTTTTTTTTTTTTTTGTAATAGTAACAGATAATTGTTTTTGAAAATCGACTGATAACTGAAACGTTGCCACACTTCAGCAAGCAAAAGTTATGAACGCTCTTAATTATAATTACACTGGTATTTCTAACAAATAATACGGATGTACATTTGAATAAAATTTAGAAAATAAAAATTACTATGTAATTTTTACTGTTTGTTCCGGCACTTTCTTTCAAGTTTGAATTTAGTTCGAAAGAAAGCGACAAAACATAATACTTAAACGTTTTATATTATTCCTAATGCAAAATCATCAATAATTCTAATGTAGCATCAATTTCTTTTAAGTTTAAATTAAATTACAAAAAAAAATTGTACAATTTCACATATATCTAAATGACATATAAAATTTTAAAAATGCCTCCATGGGACACTAACATATTATTAGTTAATAAAATTAAGAACTAGATCTACACCTCGGTTCCCTCTATCAAACCTGTGGATCTATCTATCTATCTATCTATATATATATATATATATATATATATATATATATCGACCTCAACGTGGTCTCCTCGTGACATTATTGCTAATGAATGATCTCTTTAGTTGCCTTATTCAACATTGTAAATCGTAAATAAAAGTAATATATAACACGTCGCTATCTCCTTTTATCGTGAGATATGATCAGACGGGGTTTTAATTTATTATTTTTGTTTATTATTTAAATATGTATCCCTGTATATATATTTTTTATTTTTACATTAAAAATAATTATAACATTATAACAGCAAAAGCCAAAACAATGTTATAAATCTAGTATGTTAACATACAAAGTTATAATAAATGTATTTAACCCGACTCTAGATATTCCTGAGAAAATAATTTTTTTCTAAATTTTCTAGGTTTCGTTTTTCACTCTATGGGCCACTCCTCTTTGACCATTTGTCTGGATATCAATTATCTTTGGCAGGCTCAAAAACTACTAAATAAATCAATGATGTTTATAATATTATTTAATAACGGTAAATCGATCATCAATCAAAGTTTTTGCGTGAGTTAATTTTTTTCGATTTTTTTTTGAGAATGAATTTTTAAAAAACAAAAAATTGAGTAAAAAGTGAAAAACAAATGAAATTATTGATTTTTTAATGGATTAGGGTGAGTTTAAGGGACAAAAACCTTGTTCCCTTATTTTTTCCAAAATTTCAATCAATTGGTCCGGGAAAAACCGTTGCTGTAAAATTTTCCTCAAAGTAGCGAAGGTTAGTTCTTACTAATATATACTACTAAACTACTACTACTACTATATATATATATATATATATATATATATATATATATATATATATATATATATATATATATATATATATATATATATACAATGTAGAAATTTAGTCAAATCACTTGGTTCATCGTATCAAAAATTAAACTAAAATGGTCTTAGAGGACCGCGTGGAGGTCGATCTGACAAAATGTATTTTGCTAACAACGGTTATTAGTCCCAGTTATCGACAATCCCCTTTCTCTAAATTGAGTAAGCAAATCTATGCTTTACTACAAGCAGTTAATTATATTTAGATCTTAACTTCTATACCTTCTTGAAGCCGTTGGGGTTGTTGCTCTGCCACCTCCACGTGTCCGCGCACATATCCTCCAGGGTCCTGGTGGCCCTCCAGCCGAGCAGCCGGTGTGAGAGTGACACGTCTGCATAGTTAGCCGCCACATCGCCAGCACGACGTTCCACGACGCGGTAAGGAACCCGGCGACCGCTGGCCGCCTCAAACGCAGCGATCATTTGCAGCACTGAGTACCCGGTACCGGTGCCTGTTGGGATCAATGGCATACTCTAAGTCCTATATCTAGCGGTATTCACTTCTTCAACTGAATAAGGGGGAAGAGATTGTCAGTGACAGGGACTAGAGATATAGAGTATGTATATGTATATAACACTTTTTTTATACATATATATCTGATTATACAGGGACTATTTAGTTCACTACTCGCGTCCGTGTAACCTAACTTTAGGCTGCAGCTGAAAATCAGTGCTTTGCTTTCAAGCAAAACTATCTATTTGTGTCACTGTGACATACATAATGAAAACATACTTTTAATTATACAACTCGTTTATTAAATTCTAAGAATTTTGTTAATTTAGGTGTGTCATAGATGTTACAAATTAAGTATTTATATATATATTTATTTAATTGTAATATCCATTACACAATCAAATTGTTTAATTAGTATTATATTAATACCAAACGATAGATAGACAATAAGGATTGAAAATCATGAAATATTAATACAATGAAATATATATATATATACATATATATATATATATATATATATATATATATATATATATATATATATATATATATCATTATATATTATATATATAGTGCGCCACCTACCCTTTGTTTTTCTTTCTTTTCTCAATGTCCTATACCCAAAGGTTGTCTGGAAGCGATTGCTTAGCGATAAGGCCGCCTTTTGTATCATTTCTTATTACAGTTAAATGTATTTACTATTTTATAATTGGTGCAATAAAGTGTAAATAAATAAATAAAATATTAATTAAAAAGCCACAAACAAATCCAAACAATCGTGGTTAATTCTTGGTGAATTTCGTCACACTGGTGCCCCGCCAGCGTATACCAATAGCGCAGGTAGAATCATTATTCCAATATCATCCATTTAAAATAATCGTTTAAGATCAATCAGGTCGTGTGCTTGCTATTTCAGCATAAGAGAAAAGTATTACCTAAATTAACAGCGTGGAAGCCGCTGAACCCTGGCTGCCGGAACAGCTTAATGGCTTTACGTGTCCCTCGGCCAGGTCCTGCACGTGTATGTAATCTCTGACACCGGTGCCGTCCGGCGTGGGATAGTCGGCGCCGAACACTTTTAATTCTGGCAGTCGGCCCACAGCCACCTTCAATCGAAAAAAAAAAAATTAGAACAAGAACATACTTTTTAGTGAGGAACTTCAAGATGTAGTTTTTTTTTTTTTTTATTTAGTGAGACCAAGATCAATATTATTAATGTTTTGTAGCAAAATATACTGTATCTTTTGACTAATCTGTATTAATTATTATTTTTTTATTACTTTTACTTTTTATTAATAAAAATTAATTTACTTTACTAATCTTACTAATGTAATAAAATTGTAACTAAAAAGTGCCTGTACATAGGAGATATTGAAATAAAATTGATGTGTTTTAATAAGAGAAATGGAAGCTAAAACAATAAAAACTTTTTGGAAAACTTTGTCTGTCTATCCATCTATCTGTCTGCTACGCCATCACGCAATAACTACTGCGCCAAATTGGATGCAATTCAAAGCGCTATTCCTCAAGGTCAAATTTAAAAACTGGATGCACTATTTAGAAATGGACTACTTCATTGGTTTTCCTACTTTTGAAATATAATTATTTAGCGTTCCATTGCTCCTGCTCCCTCCTATCGTCCATTAGGCTACCCTAATGGGAGATAAGCGTGACAGATATGTATCTATGTATGAAATATAAGCGTACAAAGTAGCGGCCAGAACAGACTAGTAAAGTATAAACTAACTTGACATTGATTACGTTGTACAGATATCAATTATGAAACGGAGCTGGACTACGATCTCTTGATAAACCCTATCATAGCAACATTGCAAAACCTAGACTATTAAATAACACTATAAAAGTGCTTGTAAACATGCCCATTTATATAAATGTTAGGTACTTAATTTGTCGTGAAGTCGTTCTGGCCAATATTAAATAAAAATTTCGAATTAAGAACGTCCATAACTTTTGCTTAACGAAACGCGGCGACTTCACAATTAACTGTAATTATAAAAAAAAAGAGTATTCAATCGATTCTGAGGAAACATTTCTTCAAACCTATTTCTAAATTTAAAATTTAAATTTGATATCATAGAGAACATTTATTGTAAGTATAAAATCATATTCTAATAGATTTATGTTCATATTATTGTGATTTTAGTCTATAATACAGTAGTAACACGAGATTATCAAATTAAAATATATGGTTAAGATTAGGAGGTAGTTTTTGTTAAAACTACAATACATGGAGGGTATCATGGGCGAAACAGTTTGCCATTCGAAGTAGTATAAAAATAAAATAAAAAACGTTGTTTCGCGCAAATCAGGTCTCGGGATGGGTGTTGATCCCGGGACCTGATTTACGCGAAATCAAACCGCGCGTGCGCGATCAGAAGGCCTACCATGAAATGTTTTCCGAAATTTCGGAGCTGAACGTAAAATAAAATTTTTAAAAAACACAAATTTGATGTATATATATATATATATATATATATATATATATATATATATATATATATATATATATATATATATATATATTACTCCTTTGGACTTTTATGATAGGATTTATGACGAATGAAATGTTGAACTCCATTTACTGGATCGATTTAGGTATGAACATAAACACGAAATTGAGTCCGAAACTTCGGAATTTCATTTCATGGTAAGCCCCCTGATCTATTTAAGAAAAGATTTTTTCTGAATTGGATCGAGTCTGCATGTTATGGGTCGAGCCCCCAGACGGTCGTTATTCAGTTTCTCATAACACACGATATACAATTATTATTATTAATAATAGGCATAAAAAAGCTACATACCTGTGCTATATAGGGCATCAAGTTGTTAGGTAACCCGGTGGGGTCCTCACCGATACGGCCGCTGGGATGCGCCCCCACCGGGTTGAAATACCGAAGCGATATTATCATCCATTTCTGAATAAAAGAAAACAAATTTGAAAATAAATCGTGCTCATTCGCGGAACCCTTCAATATTAAAAAAATAAAATAAAATGCGTAATACTGCTTTCGAGAGAGCTAGTCCTAAAAATACTATAAATTTATATAGGTAACTATATCCCGAGCTTATAGCTTTGTCCGCGTAAATGATTATATAAAAATAAATGAATATATATCTTGTGTTCAAATTTAGAATATAACCTATCCATGTGCTAAATTTTTATGGAATCCGTTCAGTAATTTTTACATTAAAGAGTCCATACATCAACATTTTTTCTTTGCATCTTTTACGATTTTTTTTTTTACTATTGAAAGATCCTACGATTGATCACGCGTGGTATAACAACAATACAAGTAAAGTTCCCAGGGTATGTCTGTAAACACTAAGACGTTATCCAAATTTCTGTGTGTCCAGTGGTATTTATTATTTAACAATTTGAAAGTGATTTCGATTCCTAGACATAAATAATTGATGAACTAAATGCTAGTACTGCAGGGGAAAAGATTGTTAGTAATGGAGACTGAGAATCCCATTGCTAGCAATATACCCAACCAGGTCGACCTCTTCGCGTATCTCCCTGGAAACTATCATGGTTAATTCCTGATGAATTCATCATGATGGGCTAACTGACCCGTTTTCATTCTCATCTATCACCCCTCACTTGTGCTCCGCTAGTGTATCCCGTTAGCGCAGACGGGGTTGCCATACCATTTTCACCCATAAAAAAAAATGCTAGTACTGACCTGATCGCTAATACACAGATCCTTCATGATCTCTTCACATATATACTTGGTCTTCCCGTAGGGGCTGGCGAGGGCGCGGCCCGTGGGGTGTCCCTCCCGCAGCGGCAGCGTCTCCGGCTCGCCGTACACCGTGCAAGATGAACTGTATACCAGCTTGTACACGCCGTATTTACGCATCACCTGCAAATCTGTTACTGTTATCTTTTTGGATAGGAAAAGATTTTGTTGTTAGAAATCTCGTAAGTACATATGATATTTAATTTTTTTTTTTATACAACTTAGAATGGCAAACAAGCTGACGGCCCACCTGATGGAAAGTGGCAACCGTCGACTATAGACATGAGCAGTACCATGGACATAACAGACTGTTTAACGGAGTATACTGTTTCGCCCATGATACCCCCCCATGCGTTACCATTCCTGAGGACTCAGGTGTTATTCCTCTGTACCCTGTAAATTCACGCCATATCCCACCCTTCAAACCGAAACACAGCCATGCAAACATGTAATAACTACTGATTTAACTTACGTGTAATTAGATCGAGAAAGCTCGATTAGTTTTGAGACCAATTCGGGACCCTTAATCATGAGCGACTGTGACGCGAGCGCGAGTCATAATAAGCTTTCTCAATTAAATTACACATAGGTTAAACCGGCAGTTATTATACAAGGATTAATTTAAAAAAAATAAACCTCACATAATTAAAACAAGTTTACCAGAGGGAGACTTTGTACAAAAGTCGATTGCTTGGGTACCTCTGTCCCATTCGTGTTTCAACCGTGAAGCAGTTGTGTTTGCATGGCTGTGTTTCGGTTTGAAGGGTGGGATATGGCGTGAATTTACTGGGTACAGAGGAATAACACCCGAGTCCTCAGGAATGGCAACGCATGGGGGGTATCATGGGCGAAACAGTATACTCTGTTATGTCCATGGTACTGCTCATGTCTATAGGCGACGGTTACCACTTTCCATCAGGTGGGACATCAGCTTGTTTTCCATTCTAAATTGTATTAAAAAAAAAAGCTGATTATTATTATTACATAATATGACATTTTGAGAAAAAATATGTAAAATGTAGATGTATGGTCACCTAAAATAATGGCCACTAGGAGGAAAAGGGATTGATAGAAATAGGAATTAAGTTTTTTTGTTTGCTGACATGACATGTTCGATATGATTCTTTGCTACAATTTATAAAGATCTGTCCAGGTGTTTCAAGGTTATTAGCACTTTTTTATAACAGTGTTTATACCGAGGCTTTTTTAAATTTTTAATAAATTTATAGTTATTTATTAACATCTATAGATACTCTTAGCTGTGTGGTCACAGCATAGAATAGAGCACCCCTTCCTTTCCCATGGGTATTGTAAAAAGTCGACTAAGGGAGGGTATACAGCAGCGTCCCTCTTAAAATTAAACTAAAGTCGCTGCGGTTGCCAATCCACCAGACAAGCTTGGCAACTACTAGCAATCTCTCCCCCCCCAAGGTTATATTCAGCCAGTGGCCAGTAAAAGACTGATATGATAGATACTATGTTTATACAAATAAATATAATAAATGTTTAATGCAATGTTTAATATTTTATTTATATTACAATACCTCTAGTAATGTGCATGTTCCCGTTATATTCGCCTGGTAGTATTCGAGAGGCTTCTGTACCGATTCGCCGACAGCCTTCAGGGCGGCGAAATGGATGACACTGTCTATGTTGTGCTGGAGGAACGAAAGAATGAATGCATGGTTTATTTTCTCCTCACGAAAGAAATGAAACATACAATAATTAGTGGAATGAATTATGTGAAAATTATTGCACTTAGTTACATGCATAAGGAGAGAATATCCTACTAATATAATAAATTAGCGAGTCGCTAGCTACTTGTGCTCCGGTTTTGCACAAGTAGCAGAGTGCATATGCTTATTTTTTTTTTTTGCATCAGATTGCTGCGTCGCATATGAATTAGATGTGTATAGTAAGTTATCCTTAAAAGATAGACATATACCATCGCGGACTTTTTTATAGACCTATAAAGAGAAAGAGTCCCACCATACATTGTTTTGCTATATTTCCAACGGAATATACAGACAACGTTTTCGATAAAATTGCCCATATCGATCGGATATCTTTTTTCGAATATGTTAAAAATCTGTTGTCCAATATATATATATATATATATATTTTTTTATATATATATATATATATATATATATATATATATATATATATATATATATATTTTATTATACTCTATTGCACCAAGTAATAAAGAGAACTATATATGTGTATATATACAGTAAATATTAATAAGAATTTTGATACTAAAAGCGGTCTTATCGCTAAGCAATCTCTTCCAGACAACCTTTGGGTAGGGACATTGAGAAAAAGACAAAGGGTAGGTGGCGCACTATTATATAAATATTATCATATACAAACATATATACATACATACATACACATACATATATAATATATACACAATCAAATATATACATAACATACACATACTTAACAGCACACATACAACAGAAAAAAAAATGACGAAGGGAAACGAAAAGAGAACACAAGAAAATAGTACTAAAGTGAGAGGTAGTTGGATGACACCCTTTTCACATATTTGTTATTGAATCAGTATATAAAGATTGTAACTATATATGTGTATATATATACACATAGACCGAGACATAGTTACATCAGGCAGATCAAGGAAGGAGTTGGTGTCGTGTCGTATCAAGAGGTGAAGAGACTCGCTGAAAATCGTAGTGAGTGGCAAGAGCTCCACCGACAAGAACGCAGCTTTTAAATTATATATATATATATATTTTATACAAAGACCATTATATTGAATGAATACACAAGGTATTTTTCATCACAATTTGCACGTACAAAGCAGCAGTAAATTGTGGTACTGCGGAAAAAGGTAGTGATATATAAAACTAACATTTTCAAACACGTTACTCAACCCGTTCTCATCTCGGATGTCGACATCGTAAAACTGTATAGTTCTGTTGGTCAACTCTTCAACGACCCGCAGAGGTGCTGGTTTCTTCTCACCTTGTTCCCTGCAAATGGAACGGATATTTATAACTAGATTCTCATATTTTTCAACATTATAATTTTTTATAATTATTTATAACTGACCACTACTGGACATCGGGCTTCCCCAGGAGAGTTTTGCCAGTAGTTGCTACGCTTGGCTGGCGGGTTAGCAACCGTAGTTAAGCCTTTGAGAAAGTTTTAAGAAGGACGCTGTCCATCCCTCGCTCTTCCTTAGTCGCCTCTTACGACACCCACAGGAAAGGAAGGGGTGGGGGTGATAATGGAATAGTAACCAACCCGCGCTATCGGTATACACTGGCGAAGCACCAGTGAAGGATGATAGGTGAGGAAGAAGCAGGTCAGTTAGCCCATCGTGATGAATTCAACGAGAATTGTTCACGATGGTTTCCAGGGGAACCACATGGAGGTCGACCTAATAGGGCATATTGTTAGCAATAGGGTTGTCAAACTCCATTGCTAACAAACCCTTTCCCCCCGGAAAGGGATGGCCCATACACACACCGGGTGGAGCACACACGACGAATGATGTTTTCATATTAGCTGTTAACAGTCCACTGGTGAACATAGGCCTAGACTTATCTTAAGGGATTGTTAATAATAAGATTTAACAACCCCATTGCTAGAAATATACCCTATCAGGTCGACCTCTACGCGGTTACCCCTGGAAACCAGAGTGGTTAATTCTTGTTCAATTTATCACTATGGACCAACTGACTTGCATTCATCCTCACTTGTCATCCTTCACCGGCACCCTGCCAGCGTATACCGATAGCGCAGGCAGGATTAACATTTCATCTTGGGGGGTTCATATTTTGATTACTATGAAATTCGAGTGCGTTTCAGTAGTCTCGTAGTGTTGATTTTTAACACAGGAGATAAACAAGGATGCATCTCATCTGATGGTAAGTAACTACCACCGCCCATGGGCACCCGCCAGTGGAATTGTGTTTTTGATGGACGATAATGGAATGGTACGCCCGCCTGCGCTATCAATATACGCTAGCGATGCACCAGTGAAGGATGACAAGTGAGGATGAATTGCTTTCATCAGTGACGAATTCCATAAGAATGAACCAAGATGGTTTCCAGGGAGAACCGAGTGGAGGTCGACCTGATAGGATATATTACTAGCAATAGGACTATTACATCCCCATTATTATTACCACAGAATTATCATTCATTAAAAAAATCAAAAAAAGTCACATTTCTAATATAGTAGGATTCCATTCGCACAATCAAAAATCTTGTTTATCCAATAGATACGAGATAATAGTATCAGCATTCAGCAACTTATGAAATAGGCCGATTACTTGTAACCGATAAGTACCTACAAGATATCTGTTAAACAGACAATAATTACGTCATAACAGATTAAGGAGAATAACACCTATTTGAATATGTAAAGATAGTCTATCGATTTATTATCGACCAGCTTTTACGCGTGGATTTAAAAAGTAAGAAAATCATATGTAATCATTATAAGTAGTTTAATTAATAATATGTATTTGATGTTTTTGTACATTATAAGTTTTGTTTTTTATGCACGTAAAAATTATTAATTCACTCTTGCGCCACCTGCCCACTTCTATTTGTTCTCCTTTAATCAAAGGTTGTCTGTAAGAGACTGCCTTAGCGATAAGACCGCCTTTTGTACCTTTATGTGTATATTTTAATCAGTACTTTATGCTACTGTATTTCACTTGAATTGTTTATATGTCATTGTTTATTTTTATGTTTCTGGTGCAATAAAGAATTAGATAAATAAATAATAATAAATAAAATCATCTTTTAGATGGAGTATCAAGATGAAATATACACCATACTTAAAGTTAGACTTTCAGGAACATAACTATAAACTGCATTCAATCTGGTGCAGCGTGATACCGGAACAAATATACCGACAGACAGTCAGAGAGATAGACAAAACAATGTTTCGACATCTTTTTTTTTATATCACAAAGGTGGCAAACAAGCATACAGCCCGTCTGATGGTAAACAGCTTTTTAAAAGGCCGGCAGCACACCTGCAACGCCTTTAGTGTTGTGGGTGATCATGAGCGGCGGTAGTCACTTACCATCAGCTGAGCTGCATGCTTGTTTACCCCCTACGTTGTAAAAAAAAAACTGTCGCTAAAGCCTATGGACGCCAGTAACACTAGCAGTGTCATGTGCGCGTTGCCGACCCAGCAGGAACTTTAATATACCCTTTTTGAAGAACCCCAGACTGTAGTCTCTAGAGAAAACCTCGGCAGAAAATCTTACTAAATCAAAAGACTACTCACCGATACGAGTTGCAAAGGTTATCTATGACAATTATCTCGAATTGGGTGTACTCGTCCTCCCGCTCGAGGAGTGCTGCGACGGTGTGCGAGCCCACGTAACCTGCGCCGCCCGTTACCAATATGGCGGGTGTCATGGCGGCCCTGGAACGGGATTTACATTTGAAAATCGAATTGTATTTTGAATTTATGGCTTGGTTGTTGGACTTTTAAGCCAATTAATATGAAGATTGTAATAACCACTGTTTCCGTTCGTTTTTTTTTTTTTACTTTTTTACTCGTAAACTCAGCTATTGTTTGAAAAAAGCAATAGCTGTATTTCTTGCACTTTATTCTCATATTATAAAAACAGCTATTTAAAAAAAGCTTATAATTAAGTTATCCTGAATATAAATTATTTTTATTTAATATTTATTTAATTTCATAATTGACAAAAACGTTAGTAGGTACGTGAGACTCAAAATTTCTTATTGTTTTTCGCCCTATGATTCTTTGGGACAAGTATTCAAATTCACTGGTAGAACACTGCTTTAAAAAAATTTAATTATTTTTGTTCCATTCCATATATAAATTACTTGAAAATGCTGATGGGGTCGGATGGGCAATGTCCACCCCAGGATAAGAGCACAGCATACACCAATGGACAAAAAAAAAGTATGAGAGAGTATAATTTATATAAGACTTTTTAAGAGGCCTCTCCCCCCCCCCCCCCCCCCCCCAACCCTGGAAAATTATTTTCAAAACGATTTAAGACAATTTTCCAAAGGGGATTAACATTAGATATTGTACAGTCAGTATCAACGCGAATACGATATATAAATACGACAAATAAATACGAGGTGACGATGTACGATTGTACGTAAAGTCGTCACAATATATTCGTATGCGTATCTAGGAATGTAGTTTATAAGTCATCACAAAGATAACAAATGAGTAGCTAATGAGTTTCGTACATTACCATCATTATACACAGATATACTCACACACAATACTTATAACAAATCTAATAAACTCAAAAAAATATAAAACTGAATGTAAAAAAATTTTAACTATAGAAAGCAATATCGTCGTGTGTTCTTATTAAAAACAAAATCGTGTAAAGATGGGGCGAATGGCTAAATGGAGCGAATGATTAACCAATCAACTTTTGTGTTAATTGTTGGATTATAGTAGGGGATCTTGGGTAATTTAATAACAAAATATGAAAGAGTCATGTTTTAGGGTTGAGAAATTCAAAGTCTGTAGTTATACAAAGATTTGCCTAAGTTATGATTTTACGTTGATCAGTTTGTATGAAAATTTTAGTTTCCGTAATCATTCGCTACAGACGCAAAAGTTTTCAATACGAATAATTGACGTTGATGCACACACATTAGTAAATTATTTATAAAGCTCACGCTACTAATTCAGTTGATTATTATTTATTAAACTCACATTAGTAACTAAGTTGGTATACAGAATAGGCGACGGTTACCACTTTCCATCAGGTGGGCCGTCAGCTTGTTTGCCATTCTAAGTTGTATAAAAAAAGGATAATATAGAAATAAAGTTTTTGATTCAATGGTAGTGTAACTAACTGAAAATTGTACAACAATATGCGTCCTCTAAAGTTTACAAATTAAACAAATAAGTGCTAAATACAATGAGTAGAATTTTAATAAATGTACATAACGTTTTGATAAAGTATTCTAAACCTTATAGATATTGCCATAAGGATAAAAATGACTTAACGACAATTGATGGTCTCGTTCTTACAATGAGCTCAAATCGTATTTCATGCACATGTAGAAATACAATGTACATACACAACTATTCCCTTGTATGCCAAAAATGCCGTAATATTATGTAAAGTTACAACCAATGTAAATATAATAAGTAGCTGTCAATGGTTTATTTAATATTCCAAAAGGGTCTGGCCCCTTAAGAAAAGCGCATATGTACTCTCAAACATATCGTTGCGAACCTTCACTTGCACATTTATGTGGGCATCAGACAATTCTGGGGTGTGCAGTCCGTAGCCGTGTAGGTCCCGGCATAGAATATATCATCCATCCATCCCTTCCTTTCCTGTGGGTGTTGTAAGAGGCGACTAAGGGAGCTGATGGTAGAGAGATGGACAGCAGTGCCATTCGTAAAGCATCACCAAAAGCCAGACTACGGTTACCGACCCACCTGCCAAGCGTGGTAACTACTGACAAAATACCCCTTATGGGCGAGGCTATGTTCAACAGTGAACACTTAATGGCTGATACAACAAAACAAAGTCCATTAATTGCGAAGAAAAAAAAAATGCCAAACGCAGGTACTATCTTTAATGTATGATTAATTGATAGGACGCCGCTTTCTAAATTCAAATATGATCAACCTAATGTATCTATGAAACATCTCCGTCTTCATCGATGTTTCGTCATGACTGAAGAAGCTGGCTGTTTTATCATTTTAATAGCACTCAATAATTACGATATCCACCTGACCTCCTTAGTTATCGAGAGCTCGAGATTTAACATGAAGTGCATGTACAAATCGATATACTAAGATCGATACAAAAGTCGGAAGGTTATCGATAAACCTATCATCCTCTAAGCAACGTAATCCTATTAATATTATCTAAGAACAAGGAATAACATAGAATTAATGATAAAATAAAAATTACAAATCCTCTTCTTATGCAAATATAATTACTAAAAAGAGGACAAAAGATACACCATCAGTTACTATTTTTGTCAATTCATAGCAAACTAGTGTTTCCAGCGTGCCGCGTGTATTATATTTCATATATGTATAAAATATACTAAATATGATATATAACCTATCCGTGTACAATATTTCAATCAAAATATTCAGTCATTTAAACGTGACTTAATAACAACAAAACATCTCCACAAATTTTGACATTTATGTACAATATTAGTATAAGATTGGAAAGCTGAATCGAAAAACGTTTTTCTCCTTGGCGGATCCATTTTTCTCTTAATTTCGATATAAAAACTATGTCATCGCTCAAGTTTCTACCGTGAAGCAGTTGTGTTTGCATGGCTGTATTTCTGTTTGAAGGGTAGAATATGCCACTGAATTTACATAGTACAGAGGAATAACACCCGAGTCCTCAGGAATGGCAACGTATTGGCGAATATGGCAACGCATGGGAGGTATCATGGGTGAAACAGTATACTCTGTTATGTCCATGGTACTGCTCATGTCTATAGGTGACGGTTACCACTTCCCATCAGGAGGACCACCAGCTCGTTTGCCATTCTAAGTTGCATAAAAAAAAGTTGTAAGAAATATTACACGTTTACAAAATTTTATCAGTCAGTCGATTAGTTTCGGAGGTTAGCGTGAAGAAACATCGTGCGTAACACGGGAGTCTTATAATTATGATAAACTATATCAAAGCCGATAAACCATATTAAAGCAGACAGACAGAATCGGTCAAATTGATAATAGTCGATTGTTTCCAACAACAATAAAACTTATCTTGTTAAACCGCTACATCTGAGTGGACAGTTAATAATTTAACGAGAATTCATCAATTATTATAAATTTTTATATTGATACATAATGAGCTTAAAATGGTGGAAGAATCTGTCAAGTAGTCATTAATGGAGGGGGGAGGAGGCAAAGTCTAAATAACGTCTCGCATGGCCTTCTTAATATTTTATTTCAAATAATAAATGCCATACAATCACACCAAATAGTCGAGGGATGGATAGCAGCGTCTCTCTTAAAAAATCACCAAGGCCTAACTGCGGTCCCTAACCCGACTGCCAAGTGTAGCAGCAACTGCTGTCAAAATCCTTCCTTATGGGGAAGATCTATGTTCAGCAGAGGACAGTTATCCGCTGATATAATTAAAATAACATTCATTGCCTGTTCCTCAAGCAAGAGTACCCTGTATGCTGTGTGGAACTAGGCCAAGAACACTTTGGGGAACAACACAAAATGCAAAATACTGGAACATACCTAACAGATTTGGTATTTCAAATCTTATGCGTAAATCTCGCATGAGGGGAACAGGGAGTCCACATTTCAACAAGTAAAGAAAAAAACGGAAAAATTCTTATGTAATTAGGTAATGGACGTCCAAAAATAGATCAACATTAGGTGTCGTAAGAGATGACTAAAAGAACTTAATAGTAGAGGGAGGGGCAACAGCGTCCCTCTTAAAACATCTCTAAAAACCTATCTGCAGTTACCAAACCGCCTGTCAAGCATGGCAACTACTAGCAAAATTCCCCTTATGGGACAGGCTTACGCTCAGCAGTGGACAATTAAGGGCTGAAAAGATGAAATGATTTACGGTAGTAGAAGTAGATGAAAGTTGAAAATCAAATAGGTCGAATTAGCTGGATATTTTTTATCTGAAAGGATACACCAAATCGATTTACAAATGATCAAGTTACGAGGTAACAAACGTTAAAATATATAACCGAATTAAGAACCTCCTTTTTTTAAGTCGTTTTATAATATATTTAACTAAACTGACCTTATGTGGTTTTTGAGTACGGCACATAATTGTACTGTCTATCGAATATGTAATCTAAGTATATTAAATAAATAATAATAATAAATTTACCATTTTTATATGTATAACCCATTGAATAACTCAATCAAGAATAACTCATTGATCACCAACATTCGAAAGCGAAGTTTACACAGGAATACCTTATTCTGAGCAACAGTAAGTTTTTTATGAGGAAAACTATCATTATAGTTGCCATTAAATCGGAATGTGCCCATTAGAGTTCTTCGATTCATTTAATCTGTTGACAGTGTTTATAGTATCAGGAAGTTACCCAGATATTGAAATGAACATATGGTTTCCTGTTGGCCCGTATGAAATTACATAGCAATTTTTAAGAGTGTAGATGGATATAAACAAGTTTTATAGTTATGGTAATAAGTCTATGGTTATTTTATAACAACATGTAGTTGTAAAGTACACTCAATATTGTTTTAAATACAACAAATAGATAGACAAGGGTCTTGTCGTAAAATGGAATTGCAATTGCTAGCAAAACAAACTATAAAACAGTACATTTGTACTAACTAAATGTTGTGGATGTGTGTACAGTATATTTAAATAAATATGATTATAATATTTATTCAGTGTTTCACAGGTAGATAAATATCTTTCAAAGTCATATCACGACACTATAAAGGCAGAGATTCGTGTAACATACCACAGAACTTCAATTAGATACGGTACGTCAATTAGGCATTTCTTCATAACATCTACAGATATTATACCAAATCTAAATACACCTAATATAATAAGTACTTATTGGTATAATAAGTAGTATTAGATAATAACAAAATATAATTACTAGAAACAAAAAAAAAGTAATAACTATAAATTTTAATGACTACAAACACAAATACTTATTTCAATATAAAAATTAAATACTTTGACGAACTGGCACTGTATACAAAACACAAAAAAAAGTTTCAAATTCAAAAATAGAACTACTAACTTTTTTATTGGAATATACGACAAACTCGCACTACGACGCGACGTCAGCTGGGTCACTGTGAGGACGGAGCACTAATCAGCGTTATAAAATGTTATCAACAAGCACTATATGGCTCAGTTAACGCATACGTTATCAATGCTTGTATCAAAACACTCGAGTGGTATTTCGCGTTATGTACATATTTTTACTGTAGTTGAGTGACGTATTGTTGGTCACTTTTAATATAGAAATAGATACTGGTTGCTTTCTCGTCGGTACGCTGTAACATTTTTCCTTGAGAAATTCTACGGGAAAAATAATTTTACTCAGAGATAGTGCAATTTATTATTTTATTACAAAAATATACCGAAGTTTCAGAAATTATCCTTAGTAGAAATAAATAAATAATAAAATATACTGACACTAGTTGTTGGCAGTGATTTTATATGAATTCAATAGTATCATACCACTGGATTATCAGATATAGTTTATCTATTGTCTCAATCAGATACGAGAATTTTTAAGAAAGAGCTCAGAAAAAATCAATAATACTTACTGACTTTTAGATTAAATCTTAAGAATTTTGATGTTTAGATGTACAAAGGTCATGATAAAATTTTAAATACATATTTCTTTCTTCTTACATAAAGAATTGAAAAGTTTGATTAAAAAATTAAAATATGGTATGCGCTGGTGAGGTACCCATGAGGGATGATAAGTGAGAATGAAATAGCAGGTCAATTAGCCATGCTGAATCACAATGGTTTCCAGAGGGCTCACAAGGAGGTCGACCTGATAGGAATGGAACTGGGTAGCCTGCATTACTAACAATTCACAATTAACAAATACAAACTCCCAATGACTGTTATGGTTTAAAACTGCAGATAGCTAAAGACTTTTGGTAGTATGGACTACGATAGGTCTATATCTAAGGATAAGTTCAATATCAGGTATAAAGATATCAATGTTCAGCAATAGATATTGGATGACTGATAGCTAGATGATGATTGAATTAAATTACTATTGCATTAACCTTCCAATTAAACCAAAAATAAAAGGCTTAATTTTATATATTTCCTTTCTTCCTCTTGCCTTTGAAAAGGAAAGGCCACACAGAGATTAATTTTAGAATGAATTTATTTTACATCTAAAATACAGGTGTAAAATATTTTTTAAAGAAATTAACATTATTACATATATATAATGTATATATGTATAAAAAAATTTTGCTAATCAATACTATGTGGTATGTTATATGATCTTACAGACTGGTAGGTGAGATTTGGAAATGATTTATTTCAAAATATAAAAAAAAAATATGCCCACCACTATATACCAGGTCACAAGTTGCCTAAATTTACAAACAGCATAATAAATTATTTAAAAAAAATTAAATTTAACACTTTAGACCACAAGTTAATATTCAGTATGAAAATATTACTACCCCATTAGACATTTCAGTACCAACTTTGTGACATTGTTGGAAATATATAGTTCAGGAAATAATAGAATAATAATTACAAAAAAACATGATAGTATTTATTGTTTGCTGTATTTTTTTGTAGGCTAAACCTGTCGAACAATATTATATTGTCAACATCTGCATGTTTTACAAATAAATAAATCTTGAATCTTGACAAAAACTTTTATTTTTTATTCAAAGGACTTTTATCTTCTTTAGGTTTCAACCCTATCATACCCTGAACTGATGACTGTAATAGTAATATTTTTCATGTGTTTTAGAATCAATAGAGACAAAATTCATATGAAGCCAACATAAAAGTAAACTGTACATTGTAAAAATAACTATAAATATATGTGTAGAATTGCACAAAAAATTGAGGACAAATTGAAAATGTCCTGCTTCTTTTAAAAGCACTTAAACTTGAATGTAAACTATTCAGACAATAAAAAAAAAAAAATAAAGGCTATTTATTTTATCAGCCAATTTAAAAAAAGAGGAGATTCCAATTTGATCATATTCTCATTGTCTGTTCTCTCATAATTTCATCATGTATGAACACATTTAAAAAATCTTCTTTATTCAAAATTATATACTTTTAGATTAGTCAAAATTGATTCGGTGGTTTAGCTCTTAAATCGAAATAAATGGTTTTGCTATAGTTGAAAGTGGTGTTTTTTTTTCATGGATCTTAAATTATTTTAAGGCTACATGGAATGGCAAAAATGTTGATGGTCCATCCAAAAGTGATTACCGATGCTTTTAGATATGAACAATCTATTCTATGTGCATTGTACTCCTTATATATAGCTATTCCTAGGAACTCCATACTCTGTATTTTCAATACCATATTACAAAAACATCTATCAGTTTATGCTTTTAGGAGGACTATTACTACCATTAAAAAAAATTACAAACACTGAATTACTTCTTGCATTTATTAAATTACAAAAAAAATAATAAATGCCAACTTACCCATTTAAATTAGTTCTCATTATTTTAAGTCGCTTTGACGGTCAGTATGAAGACGGCACACAACCTTAACACGTACCGGTCTAATTCAAGGTTTATTTACTTTACAGCGTGCGAAACATTGTCCAGACTGAAATAAAAATATACCAAGTACTAGATACAAGGACGTACATACAGTACAAAATACTAAAATATTAATTCTATCTTTATAAATGTATAAATCTTATTTCTATGGGAAAAAAAATTAATATTTCTCTGTTCAGAGAAATAAATAATTGCGGCACATTTCGCAAAATTGTATAATAATGAAATTGTACCATTTATATATCATTTATGAATTAGGTGTCTAACTAACAAATCTTTAGCTGAGAAGAAACAAGTTGTCTAGATTTCTGAATTATTATTACCAATAATAAAGAACTGCCAGAACTGAAACAAAACAAAATATAGATATCTTTTATTGCAATTCGAAAAATGTTATATTATAAATGTATACAAACGTTCGGAAACAGTTTTCATTTCATTTCAGTCAACTTAAGAACCAATAAAACTTAATATAATCTTTATATTTTCAATATTTAGGTATTGATTTAATTAATTAGTAAATAATCTTGCTACTATTATATACAGTTTTATTATTTAAAAAAATATTACATGGTAGCGTCTTATTAAATTAGTTATCAAATCAATCGACTTAACACAAATTTCAGAACTTTTATTAAAGTGGCATTGGTCACAAAGTGTCACCTTAAGGTACGAGTTTAGAAGAGTTCTAGTTTCATATATCTAACATTTATTTTATTTTATTGATAATTAAATAGATTTTAAGATTCCAAGAAATTACTGATTTATTTCAGTCTTGTATTTTTAAATGAAGTCAGTAGTATACATTTCACATAATTATAAATATGTATGCATACAAAATAAATGAAATTATATGTATTCTCAGTTTCTGAACGATGCTAGAAGTATTGCACTTATCTAAATTTCTAAATGTCCCATATGACTTAAATTGCCACTTATAATTAAAATATGCATAACAATAATAATAATTTTTATATACATTTTTTATTATATTATATTATGTACATTATATACATATAAATATATTAAGGCACAACCCATATAGATCTTATTTAAAGTACAATATTACTATATTTATTTTTATAATCACGTTTAAAATAAAATAGAAACATATTACTATAAAATTGTTAAAAAAAAATTCGTTTGGAATTTGTATATTACAACATTAGACATATTAATTTTAAGGCTAGGCACACTAATGCTCCCTCTCTTTCGCTCCCTTCAAATAGTCAAGGTAGTAGTCTTTGTTGATTTCAAAGCAATTTTTTAAAAATAAGTCACATTATTACACAAATATTGTTTTAATTTGTTTCACACATTAACCAGCAACATTTGTATGCCAATTAATTATTATTTACGGTAATGATCTTCAAGATTATTTCGGGTGACATTTCCTCTACCTGATATCAACGTTGTTTTTATTACCAAAAGTGAAATTATAATCATTGTACAGAATTTACTATTTAGGCCTGATAGTAAACAGATAAATAGCGTATTGGATGTATATATATGTTTATTGCTATTGAAGTTTTCATGTAATAATTGTGTTAAGTTTTCTAACCTATAAGTGAAGTGTTACTCAAAAAAAAAGTGGTTGGTGCATTTCAGATGAGTACGAAAATCATCAAGGCAGGTGCCGCTGAGGCCGATCCGTTCGAGACATCCATCTCGCAGGCGCTGGTCGAGTTGGAGACCAACTCTGACCTTAAGGCGCAATTGAGGGAGCTGTACATTACTAAGGCTAAAGAAATTGAGCTACACAACAAGAAGGTACAACATTAATATATCAAGCTAATCCGTAGTTCGATATTAATTATATATATATGTACATATTATACTTAACTGTCCCTTTGGAGTGATGAAGTACAAAATCAATTCATTATTACAAAAGTTGTTGAGTAGGCTAAAAAATTACCAGGCCTACCACTATTGTATTCTGGAATTTTATATATTAATAATACTATGTATGTAAATAGATGTCACATTGTATGCACTCAATGATTTTAATGATGTTCATGTCTAAATAACAGTTACTAATATCTTACACTTTTTGTTTTTTAAAATTACTATCTGTTATTGTATTTCATGTCACTCTTGAAAAATACTAATATAAACTACTTATTTCCATGGTTTACATAGGCATTGAATTATACTTAAAATATTTAAGAAATTTCTTAATGTTTTCTATAGCTATTTTTTTTCCTGTGTAGTGATGTAAAACCATAACCAGTTTTTTTATTTTATTTCCAGTCAATAATCATTTATGTGCCAATGCCCAAGTTGAAGGCATTCCAGAAGATCCAGATAAGACTTGTCAGGGAATTGGAGAAGAAGTTCAGTGGTAAACACGTTGTGTTTATCGGTGATCGTAAAATTCTTCCCAAGCCTAGCCACAAGACACGTGTTGCTAACAAACAAAAGAGGCCACGCTCCAGGTAATATATTTTATCATTATTATTTTAATGATCTGGTATAGTATGGTATTGGAAGTGGAACATTCTCTTTCCTGCTGATTGTATCCCTGTTCATTCATTATGATATGGTTGTGACCGAATCATCAATAACAATGATGGCATGTATTATGCTATAAAATAAAATATAAAAGATATAAAATTAGTACAAGTTGCTGTACAAAAAAAAAAGTTTCATAAACACATTGGATTAAAAGTATTTGAATTTAGAAAATGTAATTTATTGGCTACAATTAGATTTTACTGTATTTAGTGATATTTTTATTGTGTAAATACATACTAAAATAGATTTAAAATTTCAATGTACTTAGTTAACATTTGTGAGGTCTCTTTAAAATATATAATGGTAGACACCAAAGGTAGTGCTTGTATTCACATATTAAGTAAGTAATTTAATTTGAAATAATCATGCTAAATATCACACATCCAATGAATAGGATTGTTTTGTTACACATTATTATTGGTTGATGGAATATTAATAGTCGAGGGTGTCTAAGAGTTTTTGCATTCAATCAAGTTCAGAAATGCTGTTAATTATTCATTCAATAATAGATTCAACCAAAAAAGGATATAACCTACCCATGTAATAAATTTCATTCAAATGGGTTCAATAGTTTTTGCATGAAATGGTTACAATCATCCATCCATTTAATCTTTCTTTATAAACTTTCACATTAGTAATATAATTAAGATTTATATTTTTAGGCATTTTTTTTAACTGACTCTAATATTGTAACAATGTATCACCTATTTCAGGCATGTTAAGCTACTGTTTAATAGTCTTTTTTATTGAAAATTTTACTATCTACTCATATCATAAGGTGAAAGAATACATTGCTGCACATCCTTATATATTTTTTTCAAAATGTCAAATTTCTCAGGACCCTGACCTCTGTATACGACGCTATCTTAGAAGACCTAGTGTTCCCTGCAGAAATCGTCGGCAAGCGTATCAGAATCAAGCTGGATGGTTCACAACTTATTAAAGTGCATTTGGATAAAAACCAACAAACCACCATTGAGCACAAGGTACATTTTTTTTATATAACTTAGAATGGCAAACAAGCTGATGGCCCACTTGATGGAAAGTGGTAACCGTCACCTTTAAACATGAGCACTATCATGGACATAACAGAGTATACTGTTTTGCCCATGATACCACCATGCGCTGCCATTCCTGAGGACTCAGATTTTATTCCTCTGTACCCAGTAAATTCACGCCATATCCCACCCTTCAAACCAAAACACAGCCATGCAAACGCAACTGCTTCACGGTAGAAACACGAATAGGACAGAAGTATCCAAGCAATGGACTTTTGTGCAAAGTCTCCCTCTAGCAATCTTTGCAAGTGTAGATGAAGTTTTGTGAAATTATATATTGCCTATGTTACTCAAATAGTGAAAAATTGAGTAATTTTTGAGTTTATCCATTAAAATAATAAAATCTTCCCTGTTTATAATACTAGTATAGACCAGTCGACCTGGCAACATTGTTTTATCCTTACTACATTTTTTCTTTTTGGAATAAAAATTATCATATCAAACAACAAAAAATATGTTGTTGGGTAGGATATTTCTAAGCAGTTTAAGTTTAAAAAAATAATTAAAATTGAATGAACTGTTTCTAAAGATTAGCATGAAGGAATATCGTTACACAAAATTTTTATTTATATAGATATTAAACTTGCTGTGCAAACTGATAATAATAATACAATAGACACTAATAATCATCTACAAATTAATTCATTCCACTTTTTTTTTTTTTCACCATTGAGGCGGCAAACAAGCTTGCGGCCTACCTGATGGTAACCGGTTACATAGCCTAAGACATTACGCGCGCGTTGCCGACACTGAAGTAACATCTTCATCCCTTTTTTGTAAAACTCCACTTGTTATTTATATATTTAGCATTACTATCATTATTAGTACATGGCAGCTAGTCGAATTTATATAAAATAAATATGATAAAAAATATTTTTTTAAAGACAATAATTATATACAATTTATTTATTTTCAGGTGGACACTTTCCAATCTGTATACAAGAAGCTAACAGGACGCGAAGTCACCTTCGAGTTCCCTGAACCTTACTTGTAAATTAGATTATGATTTTACAATAAAGTATAAAAATCCGTAATTCAATATTTTATTATTCTATTAATGTCTCTATGATATTGCGTGCAAATTAATCTGTATACACAGTAAGGCTGTAGGTCCAATTCCATAATAGCAGTTACCCTTTTTTCAAATGTCTTTTTTCGGCAGCTAGATGTTACTGAAAATAGTTTGATCACTGCCGGGCGAAAATTTCAATGTGCTTACAAATTTGTTATATATTTTTGTTTATACCATGGACGTAGTATAAGACGTGCTAAGTTTTTTTTTTTTTATGAGTGAAAATGATGGTTGCTCTATTGATTATACACTGATGAGGTGCCAGTGAGAGATGGTTAAATTCACTTAGATCATCGTGATGAATTCCACTTAAATTAATCACGACGGTTTCTAGAAGGAACCGCGTGGAAGTCGACTTGATAGGATACTGCTAGTAATGGAATTGTTAGGTTCTATTAACAATCTGTTTACCCAAGTTTTTTTTTTATACAACTTAGAATGGCAAGCAAGTTGACGGCCCACCTGATGGAAAGTGGTAACGATCGCCTATAGACATGAGCAGTACCATGGACATAACAGAGTATTAGCTGTTTAGCCCATCATACCGCTCATGCGTTGCCATTTCTGCGGACTCGGGTGTTATTCCTCTGTACCCAGTAAATTCATGCCATATCCCACCCTTCAAACCGAAACACAGCTATGCAAACACAACTGCTTCACAGTTGAAACACGAATGGAACAGAGGTGCCCAAGCAATAGACTTTTGTACAGTCCCCTCTGGTGACTCTCTCACCCAAGTGCTAAGGTTGTTTTTTAATGGATGATAGTGGAATCATAACCCTGCCTGCGCTATCAGTATACACTGACGGGGCACTAGTGACGGATAATAGGTGAGGATGAAGCAGGTAAGTTAGCCTACCGTGACCGATCTAACAATAAATCAATCACAATGGTTTCCAGGGGGAACCACGAGGAGGAGAACCACTATTATATTATAGTATATTGCTAGCAATGAGGCTACTAATCCCCATTACTAATAATCCCTTCTTCCCCCAAGTGCTAAGGGTTGGCACATGAATAATATCATGAGCGACGATAGAAAGTGAAATAAAAAATTTCAAACACCAATTAATATTAAATCTAATTTATTGGTCGTAACAAAATCAGTCCATCCCGTAATTCATAATTATCAAATAAAATATACACAAGCTAGAAATGTAACTACATATAACTGGATCCAGAGAGTGTACGCATAAAAAGGAATCACATAAAACAGAAATGAATTTAGATATTGACGTTTACGTTCTACGCAAACGCCAACCATTATCCCACGTCTAAGTAGGTCCTAAGACTTGTTTAAACTAATACAGCCTTTTATCGCGTGGTCACCGAAAATAATGGCACGAAGAACGGTGACAATTCAGGAAAAGAAGAAGAGCATAAACTTTGCGCACATTCACAAAACAGTCGCGGAAAATTAAAATCTTACCATATGTCGTGACACGATATATTACAAAATTACCGAATACAAGATGACTGCCGATAATTTTATTACGAATTGAATATATTGCATATAACATAACATGGATATTTTCGACATTGCACATAGCATCTCTCTCTAACGAGATTGACTATCAAGAATTTGTCCTTGTCTCTTGCGCAAAATATAAAAATACCTAAATATTATTTGTGATTGCGTAGATTAATAATTTGAAATTAATTATATTATGCGTAATTATATCAATGTTTCATATTGATAAAAAATCAAAGGCAATAAACGACTAGACAGGTAACTGACAAAAGCTGTAATAGCAAATATATTAGCAATTGAAAGAGAATAATTATATACAAATTTTCAGAACCCGATTTAGGAAGGTGTCAGATGGTCAAAATCTTTTCATTACAAGTCAACGTCGTCATTTATTAGGCGACATTTTTTTGCCTTTGGAAGCAATACATTGAAATCGGGCACTACAGATTTTATATACAAACGTAAGACGTCTATAATGGTCACTTAAGAATTATAAATGTTGAACGAAGCTCAAGAAATGCATTTACATACATAATAAACACTATAAAAAAAAAGTTAAACAACGCAAAACAGTCAATGGAAATGCAACATTGTGTACAAAAATAAAAAATTACATTATTCACAATAATTAATAATAGAATATTCAATAATAAAACACACCTATTATATATCTACGTATAATTGACATTGCATTATAATTAACAAAGTAATAATTTAATTTTGAGTATATTAAATATAATGTTGATTTAATAATATTTTACTACAAAGAAATAATAATCGGCAAAGTTTTTTGGCAAATCGAGATTATTATTGTGTATAGTTCGCGCGATATAAGAGAGTTATTAAAGAATGTAACAACAGGAGAAAAAATCTTAATATTTCTCATTGATTATCACTTAAAAAGTGCTCGTAAGAGCAAACTAAACTTTTTTTAAGTAACTCTTATGGTTGATCATAGAAATATATTTGAAAAATTTCAAATAAAAAATATGAAGTAGTTGTAAAGTTTTTAGTGATATGTTTATGTGCAACTTGTTCTACGATTAACGTTTCAAGTCCCTATTAGAGCATCTTTAATAAATCATTAATTATTATTGTATTTAGATAAAATATTAATTATATTTTATTTAATTTATATTAATTATTAATATAATAAAATTAAATTGCTAGATTATTCTTTTAAGTTACGTATATTGAAACTGCGTATATGAACACATAAATGCAAGACTAATTATAATTATACAGTACTATCATACCTACTTGTACAACAATTAGTCCTTTACCTGAAAGGTTGTCTTGAAAAGATTACTCTCAGCAATAAGACCGCCTTACTGTACTTATACAATTGTATCGTTGTGTTTGTAAATTGTTTTGCTTATTTCCTATATTGTATAATGCAAATAAAGTATAAAGTATGTTCTTCTTCGATTTTAAATATCAATAATGAGATAACAAACATTAAATTTGTAATTTAAGCTTACATCGATCCCGTTACGATCAACCGTATATCCATAAGCAAATTAAAGAAAGGGGGCCATACCCATCTCAGAGTTATCTAGTGCCCTCCACAGGTTGCGAACGGACCTTTCTAGTTTTGCATAAAGGCATATCAGAGAATACATTTTAGCGATAAGACCGCCCATTGTTTTCTCACTGTGATAATTTCTTGTAATTGTTTGTATCTATAATAAATTTACTATTGTAATCTTTTATAGAAAACAATAAAGTGTATCAATCTATCTACATATATGTCTTTTTTTAAGGGACCAGGTAACCCCCCCCCCGCCCCCCACTAGAAAATAATTCTTGATACGTCAATGATTACATCACATTAACAATCTTAATCCATAGATAAAGTATATAAAGATAGGCCTAGAACGTTCAATTTATATCGCGCGAACTGTACACAAATAAATGTAAATTTGAATATTTAAATGCTTACATTATTAGTAGCAATTGTCATATAAACTGAACAGAAGGCCTACCATGAAATATTTTCCGAAATTTCGGGACCGAACGAAACATAAATTTGGTGTTAAAATTACATAATATATGCCGTTTAAAAACATTAAAATATCGTTCGTTTGGGCTCTTATAATAAGATTTATGACGAATGGAATGTTAAACTCCATTTACTAAGCCGATTTCGAAACAAACAAAAACACGAAATTGAGCTTGAAAATTCGGAATTTCATGGTAGGCCCCTAGAACGTTAGAAACTCTCCAACAGCATAAATTGAAGGTATAAATGTCAAATCTAAACTAGCCTTAAACCCAAATCAGATACCACCAGTCAAGTAGATTTATTTCATACAGTCCCTAATGATCATATAACCTTAATTATATACTACATATTGCTATTTTCTACGTATTATAAGCTTGGTGTCGGTGACTACTGATGTTTTCATAGTTTTTATTGTAAACATTGAAACCATAACTTACGTTTAAAAAAAAACAATATGTTCACGACTATAATTCCTTATGGGATTGTCAGTCATCGAGTGTACCGTTGCGGTGAATGTAACTCTCATGAAAATATTAAGTATATTACAATCCAACTAGACAAAAGAGTCACTGGTTGGTTGATTAGAATTAAAATGGGCGAGTCCACCGCCGCCACTCGGATAAGTTGGTTTGTTAATGGTGTTTACCATCGCCAGAAACTTTGTTAAGAAACAACAGAAACTTTCAGTTATTTCTATGGTTTTATGATCTATCTCCCGTATTCTTAACTATTTTTATAATTCATTCCCGTAGTATTTATCTAAATCATTAAAAGCTGGGTCAGCTATTTTGTCTTTTGACTCGCTACTAGTCGTGGTGGTATTTTGATTATCATTACTGTTTGTTGGTTTTATGACCTTTATATAGTTAACAGGCACTAGACCGGCGTGTTGTCTGTCTGTTGACCCCATCAGCCAACCGGAGTTCCAGAGGTGACCCTGGAGGTGCTGTGGGGCGAGGTTGAGGACCTGATTCGCGGAGAAGTTGATCTCTTGAGGCGAGGTGGCTTGGAAGTCGTATTGGGCGACAGCTCGCAGTGGGTTCTGCCAGGTGGTTGGGTCGTTTACTGTAATATCAAGTACAATTTAATAAATACCGCTGGATATATTACGCAACGCCATCTAGTATCAAACTAAGCAGAGCTAGTATTATGGTTACTAAAACACTGATAGACATAATTAAATACTATTTTTGTAAATACATATTATACATAGAAAACACTCATACTAATACAGTTATACGCATAAATACAAATGTTTGTATTGTGCAAGAATTGAAACTGGAACTATTAGTAGGTGAAGCGGTAAAATTTGACGGTTGCCACTTTCAATTGCATGAGCGAACTTCCTTGCCATAAAAAAAAAATCTAAAATATTTTTACTACTATGTTTTGTGATTACGTGGCCAGTTCTAAACAAATTTTCACAAAATATTGTAATCAATGAGGTTACTCCTTTGTTGGTCTCATATTATTATTAATAAAAATAAGTCAACATGATAACAGATGATTCACTAAATTCAATTATTCACAATATAAAGTATCTACGATACATCTTACCGATATGTGAGTGTTCACAATTGAGGTTTTTTTTATAGGACAAAATATAGACGTTCATCATCACCATCATTATCATCATCATATTAGACGTTAACTGTTCACTGCTGAACATAAGGGAGGTTTTGTCAGTAGTTGCTACGCTTGGCAGACGGGATGGCAACCACAGTTAGGGTTTGGTAATGTTTTAAGAGAAACACTGCCGCCCTTGACCACCAAATTCCCGTAGTCGTCTCTTATCATACCCATGACAAAGGAAAGGGAGGTCCATTCTATGCACGGGACCACACGGTAAAATATACATATTAATTTACTCATATCACAATTCAGTGGAAAATATATAAATGATGTTTTATATGCAATCAAGGAGGATTATAAAAATCACATTGTGTAATCAATGATTAATTTCATATTAATTAGTGATTAATTGCAATTGTAGTTTTTTCCTTTAATTTTTTTTTTTATACAACTTAGAATAGCAAACAAGCTGACGGCTCACCTGATGGAAAGTGGTAACCGTCGCCTATAGACATGAGCAGTACTATGGACAGAACAGAGTATACTGTTTCGCCCATGATACCCCCCATGCGTTGCCATTCCTGAGGACTCAGGTGTAATTCCTCCGTACCCAGTAAATTCACACTATATCCCACCCTTCAAACCGAAATACAGCCATGTAAACACAACTGTTTCACGGTTGAAACACGAATGGGACAGAGGTACACAAGCAATCGACTTTTGTACAAAGTCTCCCTCTTGTTTATAAGAAGGAGTGAGGGGATATTTATATTTTGTAATATTTTATTTGAACTGGCTTTTAATAACTACATAGTATGAGTAATGTAGTGTTTACTTAGTCAAACAGTTTCTGATATAAATAACATTGAATACAATCAGTTCATATTATTGATAATAAAAGATAAAATATCTCTTTGTAATTATTATCATTCCTTTATATGTGAATCCTATACACACTCTGTTATATCTTTAAAAGATATAACTGAAGGCAGTGTAAATTTAAATGTCTACAATAAATTTAATACCATAATTTAAATATAATATTATCATTAAAGGTAATTAGGGGATAATAAGGCATAATATAGTATACTATATTATGCCTTATTATAAATAGAATGGTAGCAGGTCCATTAGCCCATCGTGACGAATGTCACTAGAATTAACCACGATAGTTTCCAGGGGGAATCGGGTGAAGGTCGTCATGATAAGGTACATTACTAGTAATTGAGAAATTACACTCCAAATATTTAACTTTGCATATTCTTTTTTGCATAATTTTATAATTGTTTCTTTATTCATTATGCACAAAATAAATATTTTTCCTAAAACAACCTAATTTAATATCAGATCCATTAGTTGTAATGATGATTTTAAATGACACTTACATCGTTCATTAATGCTCTTAGAGAGTCCACTCATCATCTTGAGTACAATGTACGGTGCTGCGGCAATCACACCGAAGAACATCAGGATTGGCCAGGTGGAGCCGCGGGCGCGCTGCTCAGGAGTGGCGGTGCCAGCCTGGGTTGCGGCCACTGCTTGTGCCCATGCCTGGAATGTTAAAAAAAAAGTTTTAAAAAAATATGCTCATTGTATTTATGTATAATTAAATGGAATTACATCTCCGTCTACTATGGTGGGGTACCAATGAATGACAACAGATTACATAGTTTAAGCAATTAATAATTATTTTTACCAATTCTTATACGGCGATCCCTTACAAGAATGACGAGATGAAGTGTTTGCCACTTTAAATAACATTTGCAGTGAATGCAAACTGTACCTTGGATGCGAGAGACTCAGGACTGCATTTTGTTTGTAATGAAATATAAGGGATACTTAGATGTGGCATATCATCCAATCACAACATTTGCCTGATCTTAAGTTATAATAGAAACTAGACAATAAACATCTATCTATTGTTGTATGTTGTCGATTGTTTTTGATTCATATTTCTTTAAAAATAAATATAAATTTTTACTAGTTTAGCATTTATTTACAGAACTTGTATAAAGTCACTACGTCAAACAGTTCACAGTGTGCCTCATAAATCATTAATCACATTATTGTAGCGACGTATAAGTATATAACAATAGTTTTTGTATGTATATATGTTAATAAAATTCTGTAGTTCACGATAACAATATGTATAAAAACTAATTAATATAATAAATACCAAAATTTGTACCTAATGATGAATGGATGGTTGGATAGATGTTACTCTTTCACGCAAATGCTACTAAAAAGATTTGAATGAAATTTGGTACATGGGTAGGTTATATTCTAACTTAGTATATACGATAATTTATGTACTTATTTACCCGAGCAAAGTCACGGGATAAAGTTATTGCTTAATATTTATTCTAGCTACGATCTTGTATATGTTTATCGCTTTTTTTTTTTTTGTAGATTGCTTATTTGTGTCATTGACATCATTACGAATAGGTACATTTTCCTTTTTCAACCCGTAGAAGCATGTTGAAGTCGATTTTTTTTTCAGAGTAAACTCTTAAAATGAAATAATCCCATTGTACAGTCTGTTCGATTTCTCTGTTTTACACTCACGACCCGCCCCGGCTTCGCACACATCAATAGTTACAATTATTGAAGAGATCTTTAATTTGTGGTAAAAAATGCTATTGGCATTCTTTACCAATCAACCTTTAGGATGTACATGGATGTATATGGTAAATTAGATACATACAATTTTATATCATTGACGTTGTTTATATAAACGATTGAAAGTACAAGGTCATATGTAAACGACGTGTATATAATGTACATAATATTATGTTGTAATCAATTGAATTAAATTCCTTCAAATATAGCTCCTAACGATTAGAAATCCAAGCAAAAGTAGAACAAAGAGTAACGAACGGGTTGGTCGCACGCAACCTTTGCCCAGCAAAATCATATATTAACACACACGCGTACATTACTTTCCACTTTAAATAGAGTAGAGAGAGTAGAGTTAGCGTTTCTTGCTGAATGTTCTATAATTTATAAGAAGCCGGAATAATAAGATCATTTAGCTAAATTTTTTTTTATACAACTTAGAATGGCAAACAAGCTGACGGCCCACCTGATGGAAAGTGGTAACCGTCGCCTATAGACATGAGCAGTACCATGGACATAACAGAGTATACTGTTTCGCCCATGATACCCACCATGCTTTGCCATTTCTGAGGACTCAGATATTATTCTTCTGTACCCTGTAAATTCACGCCATATCCCACCCTTCAAACCGAAACACAGCCATGCAAACACAACTGCTTCACGGTAGAAACACGAATGGGACAGAGGTACCCAAGCAATCGACTTTTGTACAAAGTCTCTCTCTGCTACAATGCACTCGTATTTTGGCAGTAAAAGGGATATACACGGGAGAAATTTAGTATGATTAACATATGCGGATACAATGGTCTGCGCAGACCTAACCCCCCAGACATTGCTAGCAATATACGCTCTCAGGTTGACCTCCATGCGGTTCCCCTTGAAAACTATCATGATTAATTCTTGTCGAATTTATCATGGTGGGCCAACTGACCTGCATTTATTCTCACCTCTCATCTTCCACTGGTGCCCCGCCAGCGTATACCGTTAGCGCAGGCGGGGTTATCAAAAAGATCCCCGACCGGGGAAACCATCATGTTGAATTCCAGGTGTATTCATAACGATGGGTTAATTGATTTGCCATTTTATTCTCACCTATCATCCCTCATTGGTGCCTCGCCAGTGTATACCGATAACGCAGTCAGGGTTAGCACCCATTGAAACCCCCTAGACAAGCGATCCTATCAATAGAATTTTTATCGCTAACGAGTCCAAAAGAGAGAACGAGATAGCGACGTGCGCTGTCTTGTTCTTAACGTGAGAGAAACAAAAACGACACCTTCAATAGATTTGTTTCCCTCTTATCCAAGGAGTCGAATAAAATTTTGCCTGATGCACTTAACGCATATATGTCAGTGATTTATATTTTTAAACAGAAGTTTTTTTTTTCATAAAAAAATTCATACGTACTTACTATACGAGAATCATGAGATATATTCCTTAATTTAAAATTATTAATGACACACGATAAGACAGACTAGAGCGTAGATAAGGTGTTATCTAATAACAAATATAACAAAGAGCATAATTAAAGTATGTAAAAATAATAAATTGAATTTTATATTATTTTGAATTTATTTCTTCTCCCGTAATAATATTATTATGCTTAGAAACTACGTTAGCTGAACCGGCAAACGATTTGACCCCTACCTTGTCCATTTTTAACTGACTTCAAAAAGAAGGAGGTTCTCAATTTACAGTATATTTTTTTATATTTGTTATCTCAAAACTCCGTTAATTGTAAACCGAATTGGAAATATTTATTTCATCTAAAACTGAAGTCGGTGTTTTTTTTTTTGGTGGAACACAATTTAATTATTTTTTATCGGGACAACAATACATTCTACAAAATTTCACTAAAATCTGTTGACCTAACATCGTGACAAGGGATTTTTATATATTACAATAATGGACTTTTTTTTACGGTGTTATAATGAAAAGGTAATACCGACAGCGCAGGTGGGGACCTGCGCTGTCGGTATACGCTAGCGGGGCACCAGTGATAGATAATTGGTGAAAATGAAAATGAGGGAGAGTGATATCGACATTATATATATCTGTCCCCACTCATGTTTCTATTTGCAGAGTCTGGCAGTACAGGAACTAATTCATAATATTCATATAACAATTAAGTCCTAGCAAATGACAGTGTACGACAAGAACTTTGAGTGTCACAGTGTATTCTGTGATTCCCATAGTGCTATTCATGTTTACAGACGATGGTTGGGTACGGTTTTCCAATAATAGGCCGTCAGCTTTGCCGCTATACCAAGTTGTAATATAAATCAGTTTCTACTGCTTCCTGATAAATGAATACTTTGTACCCTGATTCGTTATCATATGTATTTATTATTAATACATTCGAAACTTCACTATCGGAAGTTTTTTGCGACTCGCCTGGATGTTGACCGTCGTATTTATTTCTACTGTGAAGCAGTATTAATATCTTTTTGCAAAATTTAATATGGCAAACACTATTGTTCTGAAAAGATTGCTTTCAGCAACAAGACCGCCTTACTGTACTTGTACAACCGTATAGTTACATTTATTGTCTTATTTCCGATATTGTATAACGCATATAAAATTTATACATTTACACACAATTATAAATATATACCACGCTTTGCAGGCAAGTTTGCAACAGCAGTTAAGCTTTGGTGATGTTTTAAGAGGGACGCTGCTACACATCGACACTAAATCGACCACTAAATTTACTTAGTCGCTTCTTACTAAGGAAAGCGTGACCAATTTTATACCGGGACCACACGGCAATTGTTTCCATTATCTTATCGCTATACAAAAGTGAAATATTATCATATAATATGTGTTTTTATTCTTAACACTGTAAAATATATATAACCAATTACATATATCACTTTCAATTAAACATACCTTGAATTCATTTTCCGTCCTAATGCCTAGGATGACCATCAGTTTCCTGACGAGCCAGTTCAGTGTCCGCACTACTGCGAATGTGGACCAGAACTGAGCAAATAATGACCTTAGTCTGCCAAAGTTCTCTGCCACACCTGTAAAGATTCGGAGTGCAATAATTAAGCATTGCATTATATTCTACAAAAACTCTGGATTCAGCTTTGAAAAAATTTCCACAGAACTAATTAATGGTTTTCTATAATTTAATGGTCGATGGCTGGGCAGCACCATCCCTCTTACTCATAAAACATCACCAAAGCCTAATTGTGGTTGCTAACCCGCTTGCTAAGCGTGGCAAGTATTGACATTTCCCTCCCCCACCAAGAGTAGGCCTATGTTCCTCAGTGGACAGTTAACCGCTGATATGATGATGAATGCTTTCTAATTAAAAAAATATATAGGTATTCAAAATGTCATGTAACTTTAAGTGGAAAAAATTTCGACTTTATTTTTATTTCGAGATAATTACATTTAAAGATGATGACTATACTTGTATACATGTTACTAATACCATTGTATAACTAAACAATCACCATACACCATATTGTGTCTGTGTCTAGTAATAATAATTCAGGCGAAATGATATTACTGCTATAAGAATAACAATAAGCAACTGGATATTTATTATACTTATGGAAACAAGGGCTATTACCCTTGTTTTGTTATTTTTCAACATAATTATTTCAGAAGAAATACCTTAATTTATGTCAAACTACCGAATTATTAATTTGTATTTAGTACATTTATGTATATGCAAAAAACATGATTGTTTGACCCCAATATTTGTGTTTAGTGTGGTAAACTGATACATACCTAATATTGCCCTAAAAGAGCTCGTTAGAGCAAAAAATGTATTTTCCAACATCATGGCAACACTGCCTACAGCATTTACAAAGCTTTGAATGGAGTCAAATGCTGGTCTTGAATTTTCTTCTGCTATTTGAATGAATCTGAAAAAAAAAATTTTTTTTTTAAATATGGAGTGTGATTATTATATTTGGTGTCATATTAAAACAATATAAATATATCATTATTATAATTGACAGTCAAAATTAAGGCCAGTTCCAGGTGTCCCTAAAAATGATTTCTCATTGAGAAGATGAATACAATTTTATTCCACCTACCTCCACTACCCCTACAGAGCAGTTTTTGTTTACAAGTGCACTTCTAATGCTAACTAAATGATTGAAATTTTATGAATAAATAAAAATTCTTCAGAAATAATATGAAACATGTTAAAATATGAACATAGGTGAAAATAAGAACATAGAATAGATGTTTATTAATAGCTGTAGATACATAGTTATTTCAAATTTAAAATATATGATTATTTAATAGTCCAAATATTAATTAAATCTTAATTGAATTTTATATAATTAAAGGTGCATTTAATAATTAAACATAAGTGTCACAGCTATCAGAAACACAAAACAAGATAAGATCTTCTTTTTATATCATACAATATCAATCATATGATTACTTAAAATAATATCAATAAAAAATTACTTATTGTATTCAATGCAATTTTGAAAAATATTTTAATAATTAAGAGCTTATATATATTTAAAATAGTCTCCAACAAAAAAATTGTAAATACATTCTATGTATTTAACAATTTTTTTTTAGAACATAGAAAACACCTAAACAAATACTAATATCCCTAATTCACCATGGTTGTCAATAGAATATATAACAATCCTCTTTTCCAATTTTATATATGTCATTAACAAACAAATGACAGACTAGCTAGATCCTTCACCTATATCTTTATTTATGGCCACTTGCATAAAATAATAACAGTAATATTTAATTTATTGCATTCAGTCCCAGGAATAGCATAATAATCTAAAAAAACAAAATCAACTAACCATAAAGTTTATCATAATAATATTATAAACATAAAAGGATGTAAACATTTAGATGTCCACATGTTTGTTACTTAATTGTATTTCAATAATATGAATTTAATCATATTTGGTTTTACATATATTTTTATCCTAATTTAAATCAATCTCTTCAACATAGTTTATAATATTATATATTAAAGTATGAATTTAGACTGGAAACAAAAAGTGATTTCACTGAATGTTTTCTAAACTATAAAAGATATTGTGAAACATTTTACTATTATTCAGTATGTAAAAAACTTAGTATAATAAAGTTTATAAGTAGAAAGTTTGATAAATTGATTTATATAATTATGATACATAAATTATATGTATTGTGTAGTAGTGTTTTATACCCTAAAATTAAAAAAAATGTTTAGTGCACAACTGGATTGACTCACCTGTTTTCCATTTCTCCATACATAGGTCCTCCAAATCTGTTGTATCCACCATACCCGCCCATGCCTCCCATGCCATATCCCCCACCTAAACCACCATATCCATAACTCCCATATCCTCCCATACCATATGAGCCTCCTAAACCATAAGAACCTCCCATCCCATAAGAACCTCCTAAACCATAAGAACCGCCCATGCCTCCATAGGAGTTCATCCCATAGCTTGATGTCATCCCATAACTTGGCTGCAACGCCATATCAGGTCTAGGTGGTAAAACGGGAGGTCCTGAATTCTGGTTGACAGAAGTCGATGGTATTGAATTCCTGAACGATGTGATGCCTGCTCCATTGCCCGTCATCGCTACGTTCGATAGACTGGGTTCAGAGTTTACGTCGAACTGTTTCGCAGGTTCACTCATTTTTAATGTTCTAAATGCGCGGCTAACGATTATATCAGCACATAAATTAATAAATAAATTTTAATTTAATAATACACTGCGATTTAACACAATTACACATAAAAATAACGTGTATATTGGAGGGGATGTATTGATAAATCACTGTCGAGCACTATTTTTTGCTTGGCACTACATTGGTGTTTTTTAGATATGATTCTATTCTACTAGTGATAATGTTTGGAAAAGATAACACTGTGAGGTAATACCAGAGGCAAGGCAAACACCTACACTAGAACTGCTGATTCGAATTAAATTTAATATTTCTTATAAAATTATCTACATTACGCAAATGAGAAAACAGAAATCACGGAATGACAGCGAATAGGTTAAATTATACTGACGGTACTGACACTTTTTGTTATGACAATGACATTTAGAATAACTATTTAAAAATTTGACAATGACAATCTCTTATAACAATCAATCGATATATTTTGTGATGTCAAGGATTAAGTTGAAACGTTCCATTATCTAAGAACAAGAAAATTTTTGTCAAACACTTGAGAAAAAAACAAGGATAATTACGAAAATCAATGAAAAACTCCAAAAAATGTAATATTTTTCTTTTTAATGAATAAACTCCAAAATACTTAACCGGTATAAAAATTTCTTTCACTTATAGAATCAGTGATATGAGCTATATTTAATTGAAATACTATTTGTGAGTAATCCGAATAATATATAAATAAAATAAAATAAAATTAGATAACGATGGAAGCAGGCGAAGAAAAAACAATAGCGTATATATATTGTCATTGACAAAAAATAAAAATAAAAAATACAAAGAGGTTTCACAACATACACCCCACCTTGCGCATACGCATTACTACAGCGCAATAACAAAATACAAAATTATATGTCAAGTCGATGAGGAAGTTTCACAGGGCGACCAGAACGTGTAATCTTGGCTGGACAATTTTCAACCTCAACTTTAGAATCAATAACTTTATCATTTGATCCCGATGGCCGTGGAAACTGAATATCCTCTAATTGTGACACCTCTAGAGGGTATAAACGTTGCAAAGGTCGAAGACGTTCGCCTTTAGCCGTTTTAATACGAGCTACCCTACCAACGTTATCAACACCAGGACATATCTGTAAAATGAGACCCAAGGGCCAATTTACGCGTTTTAAATCATCTGAACCAATAAGTACAATATCTCCAGGTTTCAGATTGTTCTTATTTTTGCCATACTTTTGCGTTAATAACGATAAATATTCTGATCTAAATCTTTGTTTTAAATCCCTATTGATTTTTTCAATATAACGATAACGAGTAGCAAGATTAGATGAATAAGCTTGGTCTAAATCACTTGTATAAGTACTGCCTACCTTAAGAAACATTGCAGGAGTAAGAGCTGTAAAATTTTCAGTGCTGTCTGCTATGTAAGTTAAAGGACGTGAATTAATAAGTGCTTCTGTTTCGCACAGTACAGTCATCAATTCTTTTTCTAATAGAGCAGCTTTACCTAAAACTCTTCTCAGAATTTCTTTAATAGTACGAATCATTCGCTCTTTGTTTCTGACAGCTGTACTTAAAACACTTGCTGACGGAATTACAGGATTTGGATCCACGCTTGAAAAACCTCCTCGTGATAAATTAATTTTTTCTTCAGATTCAACTTCCTTACGAACAAAATGTAACAATTGTGACAGCTGACTCTTTTCTTTATCGTTAGTCGCGACGTTCGCCTGACATCTGTTCCATGCGCGTAATATGTCTTCCGGCAGTGCAGATTCCACCATTGGAAATAAAAAGGCGGCATACTTATCTTGCGTCACGCCAAGAGATTCTAAAGCAAGAATCTGAGTCATTAGTTTATCATATAGGATACGAGTGGCCATCTTAGAATTATCGTTCCTTTGGACGATTGTTAACTTTAAGAGTTCTCTAACGTAATATTCTATTATAAGTTCATCTTTTCCATACCTTTGTTTGAGCTGTTGCATTACCTTTGGGTAGTTTTCTGCTGAGGGTGGAAAACTTTCCACTAACTCCCTGGCGTTACAACCTTTCTCAATACTTTGTAGGAGATATTGAAATTTATCTTCATCATCTATGTCGCTGTCGCAGTCAATCTTTTTGAACTGTGTCCAGAATGGAATCCAACTTTTTATCTCTTCGTTCAATAAAGTAAGCTGTAACTTCGGAAGACGAAAGTGGCGACGATGCCTTTGGGAAGTCTCTCCACTCTCACTATCTGCTTTAATTACAGTATCAGAGGCCGAAGAGCGGGCTACCGCAGGACTGCAGTTCTCGCTGACTTTGTGTTTCAACAAATAGAATTTACTGGTGTAAGCCTCGGACAGTTCTAAATCATCATCGAAAAAATTTTCGTCCCGTTCCTCCATGTTCAACCACAAATCCATTAATTTGTTTTGGAGGAATGTTAATTCGTCGAAAATTTTGGTGATATTTAATATTTCCGCGCTCATACCTGTTTTATCATTCTTCTCTAGAAAATCTTCTATACGTTTAGCACACATAGTAAAACGACGACGTACTACTTTTCTTTGTAATAATGCCTGTTCCATTTTTACGCTGATCACGGTCGCCAAAATGTGAGTAATCCGAATAATATATAAATAATATAAAATAAAATTAGATAACGATGGAAGCAGGCGAAGAAAAAACAATAGCGTATATATATTGTCATTGACAAAAAATAAAAATAAAAAATACAAAGAGGTTTCACAACACTATTTAAACTTGAGCATACCAAAATGTGTCAACGTCACAATTATCTGTAAATGTTAAAAAACAATAATTTTTAATGTTTCTGATTGATTAATCAAAACGTGTTTTAAAAATGAATTAAAACGATAATTGTAGAATATGTAGCATAAGATTGCATATAAAACCACTAAAAACTTTGTGCTTACTTTGTATTCTGCTTCGGAATTTATCAAATACTTTTAGGCATCAAAATTCAAATTTCAGCTATAGTTTAATAAGTATATTATTGCATGATTAACATTTTAATTTGTTATCATTTTTTTATAATAATCATGCAAAAACATTGATTATTACAAAAGAGTTTTTGAAAATTGACAGATAATTGCGACGTTACCACATTTTGTCAATCTAAAGTTATAAACGCTTTTAAATACAGTTTTCTACCTAGCTAATTTTACAAAAGCAGTTCTGGTCGGTTGTCAATACTAGATCAGTTTTAGAAATGGATTTATTTTCATACAGCTCTAAACTACTAATTTTTAAATTAAGATGACACACTTTTAGAAATATTCGATGCTTTTTGTATTTGCTTTTGTATTAAATTTTATCGTAATTTATATGTTGTGTTTAACCTATTCCCTTCCACTACGGAAATATTAGTTAATATCTCAAACTAAATGCCAACAAATTCCTTGTTCATGTTGTGACTTTATTTGTTAAACACAAACACATACATAGAGAAAAAAAGTACTGTTGTACTAATAATCTTAGTATAACATGCCATATGTTATATTATACACGTCCTATAATATACCATGAGTTCCTAAGGTGTCAAGATATAACAAACAGACAATAAAAAATCAGACAATACAGACAATAAAGAACACAATTCTTATATCTATAGTAGTTATTTATCTATATCTATAATAGTACTTTACTGATATTTGTAAATTTGATACTAAGTTCATTAATTTAGTTTGTTTGAAACTTCTTAATACCTCACACAATCGTCAAGAAATTTGGTATATAGGTAGTATTTGAGAAGAACATGGGATACGTTTTATTTCAGGGTAATGAAATATTTTCGTTATGCGGACAAAGTCGCGAGAAAATTTAGTAAACAATAAATAATATGGCATGTATTGGCAAGCTACATAAAAATACACCACTATAGAAAAACTGGGCAACACCGGTACACAGTGCTTCGGATGGCTGTCAATTGTGGACTGCAATATTTAAGTTTTTATTTACCAATTAAAAATCTTACAATAAAAACTGTGTTTTCTAATTAATATACTAAGGATAAAGTGAACTAATTTAACAGGTAAATAATTTGACTTCCATAATTTCTTTAGTTTAATAGTGTTATAAAATGTATATTGGTCACGAATATTGTACTCTATTTTTCTTGTTTTTCTGTTTTTATAATTTAAAAACTTGATTTATTTTTTACAGTTTATATATGGATTAAGTAATTTGTAATTATAAATTCTTCTGGTACCCCAGAATCAGTATCTTTAGAGCGGTCTTTGGAAAGTGGTATTCTTTGACCGGTTTGCAATTATTCTGCGAGCTACGTGCTATTCAATCATATCCAATTACGTTCGACCCGCTAAAATGACACCAATAATGATAGGCAAGACTGAAGCGGCGTGAATACATAAAGTTAGTTTCATATACACATACATAATTCTATATAAATAAATGTTAATTTGAGTAGATTTATATGTGAATTATTTTCAAATTCCAATTTAATATATTATTAGTTGTTTATATTCTAATCTCAATTAAATAAATAAACTAGCAAATAGATTTACCTGTGTAATTAAAAAAAAATATTGACTTTTGTCAGTTTTTAAAAGTATTTTTATATTTTTAAATATAATTTAATAACAAATTTTTATGAACTTACATATTACCATACTTATTCAAAAACTTAAAGTAAGTTTACTAAATTCTTGTTATTACATTATATATAACATTAGTTAATCTGGCACAAATGTTTTGCCTCCTATTACTAGTAGGCCCATTTTTTTTTATCAGGATATAAATTATACTATCTCTTAAATTGGAGCAAATAATACACGTTTTAAATTTATTATTACAATTGGTGTGGCAGTTTTAGAGATTAGTATGATTAAATATTGTGACATAAAATATTATATATCAAAACAACAAAAATTCAGAATGTCTAGATAATACAAATAAATGTATTCCCAAATATTTGTATTTTTTTTATGTATGATAATGGAATGGCAACCCCGCTTGTGCTATCGGTGTATGCTGGCAGGGCACCAGTGATCGATGATAGGCGAGGATGAAAGCAGGTTAGTTAGCCCATAGTGATAAATTCAACAATAAACCAATCACGATGGTTTCCCAGGGGGAACCACTTGTAGGTCGACCTGATAGGGTAAGTTGCTAACAATGGGGTTGTTAGACCCCATTACTAACAATTTCTTTCCCACCAAAATATTTGTATTGTTCAGAGAGTGAATTATAAAATCTTATTAAATGTAACAAAAAGTTATTTGTTTCCAAAAGTCTTTATATTTAGGGTGATCTCAGCAATTTTGAGTCAGATATATTTGTACACCTATATTATGAGTGACTTCAGAAAATGTGAATAAAATAAAATAATGTATATAAGAAA